CCGGAGGAGAAGTATGGGAGGCTGGTGGAGAATTTGAGGGTTGTGAGGAAACATTTTGAGTTGAACCAACCGGCTAAGAGGTTTGATGTGTTTCATATGATACTGCACTCCGTTTGGCTTAGGAGAATTAACCTTAGAATTGCCTAGATAATTATCTTCTTTTGTTTATATTTAGAGTAGTACTATCCACATACCTATTTTTACCTTTATACACCCTATTAATTTATACATACAGAAATGAGTGCAACTTTTAATCAGTATTACTAGCTACTATCACATCGTACATCTCATCTGATCTCGTAAAATTGAGCTTCGTACTCACCTCACAAACCCGACGTTCTATATAGCAGCCTCTAAGTACACAAGGCATCCCCGTCGATGTGTCGAATAAAATACTTGGATGGAAACAACAATTCCTTAGTTAATTAGTCTCCGTTAACAATCACAATGTGATCAATTTACAAATAAAAGACAGAGTTCAAGTGCACAGGGTATACGAAACTATTGAACTACATTTATCAACCACAATATTGCTGATTACTTTTCTAGTTGAAGTCAGACACAACCACTTTTAGCAAACCAGTTGTCGGCGAAGACGGTTCGTAAATGTGGTACAAATAGCAGCACTTGCTTCTCATGAATAGTGATGGTATGCATTTACTGAAAGGCATAACCTTCTTGGGCACTAGCAGAAGCATGGAAACTTACATACTGCATGTCAATGAGAGTGCACGCAGTATCAAACATGAGCTTCGGGCCGATCCTTGCACTCTATAGTCACCATTGAATACCCTTTTCCTTACAACTCTCAATCCAAACCACCGTCTTCCTACTCTCCTACTCACTATCTAACCCCAACAGTGTCCTTTGGGAGCTTGCAAGCCCCAAAGTAAGGTCCATTAAAGTTCCTAAAGCAGGAGCTGGTGCAACCTGCGCTCCACATTAGTACGCATGGTGCCCTGATGAATATTGTACTTATTATCTTGGCCTCCTCCCATAAGCCCAGATGTCTTCACTTCTTGTTGGTATTTGGGTTATTTTCCGAACGGGCTGAGGGCGGTGGTGGCACGGAGGACGGTAATGAGGTGGTCTTCAACGGTGGCAAGGTGGTGGGAGCCATCGATTGTGCTGTCAGTTGATTGATCAGAGACTTGAGCAACACATGCCAGGCGGGCATTGTGGCTCCAGGCATGGCCTTCTACTTTGTTGCACTGGAGATCCGCCAGTGCGAGGTCTCCGAGAACAGACCCGGCGGTCTGTCCCGGTCATTTCAATGGTGGTGCGCTCGCTAGGGTTTACAATGGTGTGTTCAATGTTGGAATCCCACATCGATGGGTGCAAAAGAAAATAATGGGTTTAAATATGATTGTCCAACTCTAAGTTAATATCGAGGTCTTCTGTGATAAAATCTCACATGATAGATTGGGTAGATGATAAAATTAAGAACAGTAACGGTCCTAACAAATTAGGGCTGTAGTTGACATATCGCTTGGCCGACACGTTGAGAAGCCAAATGAGATTTATCAAGTTATCTTTGTTTCCCTTATTTCTTCTTCCAAGTTCATGCATTTCCACGTAGTTTCCTACGGTCTTCGATCACTTTTTGCGCATGGGAACCGTCAACTAACTGACTTACGTCAAAAAAAATCAGATCTTTGTTTCCCTTATTTCTTCTTCCAAGTTCATGCATATAGACTTAGTTAATTTCCACGTAGTTTCCTACGGTCTTCGATCCCTTTTTGCGCATGGGAACCGTCAACTAACTGACTCACGTCAAAAAAAATCAGGCAAAAATAACTCATTTTTGTCTTTTGATAAACTTTAAACTAGCTTATTCCAGAATAATACTAGTTATATACACGCGCTAATGAGATATCTCAACTAGATGTAACACGTTATTTGACAGTTATATATAGATGTTTACATGCGGTAGGCGCAAATATAGTTAACACACGTGACCAAATTATGTTGCAAGAATCTCTCATTTCCGCTTTTGATACACTTCAAGCTACCTCATTATCAAATAATATCACATTTGCCATCTATTATCCCAACTATTATCCGTCGTTTGTTTAATATGTATTTCTTTTCATCTAGCATCAACCCTAAGGCCTATGGTTTAAACATACTACTATACATTTGCGAATATGATATCCATAAATCAAATTTGCAGAAAATGTAGATAGTTGTAAAATGTGGTGAAGAATATTTGCATATTTGCGCCGTAATTACTAATTATATAGTTAATAACGTCTATAACTAAAGCACTTTTAACCAAAGTTGGGCTCATTTGGTAGTGCTTTAAAATGATTGAAAAAAAATTTAAATAAAATATTGTTGGGATTCCAAAGTACCTTAAAGTGCTTCCTAAGAGAAGCATCAGTTATTGTTACTACTTCAAAGTCAAAGTAGGTTTTTTTTTTTTTTTTTTTTTAAAAGGTACATTAAAGTTCCTAAAGCAGGAGCTGGTGCAACCTGCGCTCCACCATTATAACGCATGTGCCCCTGATGATATGTACTATATATCTTGGCCCCTCCCAAGTAAGCCGATGTCTTACTTCGTGTTGGTATTTGGGGTGTATTTTCCGAACGGCTGAGGGCGGTGGTGGCACGGAGGCGGTAATGAGGTGGGTCTTCAACGGTGGCAAGTGGGTGGGAGCCCTCGATGCGCTGTCATTGTTGATCAGAGACTTGAGCAACACATGCCAGGCGATTGTGGCTCCAGGCGAGGGCCTTCTACTTGTGCACGGAGATCCGCCAGTGCGAGGCTCTCCGAAAACATACCCGGCGGATCTAGTACCCGGTCATTTCAATGGTGGTGCGCTCGCTAGGGTTTACAATGGTGTGTTCAATGTTGGAATCCCGGGTGCAAAAGAAAATAATGAGTTTAAATATGATTGTTCAACTCTAACTAATATCGAGGTCTTCTGTGATAAAATCTTACATGATAGATTGGGCAGATGATAAAATTAAGAACAGTATCGGTTCGAACAAATTAGGGCTGTTGTTGGCATATCGCTTGGCCGACACGTTGAGAAGCCAAATGAGATTTTATCAAGTCATCTTTGTTTCCCTTATTTCTTCTTCCAAGTTCATGCATATAGACTTAGTTAATTTCCACGTAGTTTCCTACGGTCTTCGATCCCTTTTTGCGCATGGGAACCGTCAAATAACCGGCTCACGTCAAAAAAAATCAGGCAAAAATAACTCATTTTTGTCTTTTGATAAACTTTAAACTAGCTTATTCCAGGATAATACTAGTTATATACACGCGCTAATGAGATATCTCAACTAGATGTAACACGTTATTTGACAGTTATATATAGATGTTTACATGCAGTAGGCGCAAATATAGTTGACACACGTAACCAAATTATGTTGCAAGAATCTCTCATTTCCGCTTTTGATACACTTCAAGCTACCTCATTATCAGATAATATCACATTTGCCATCTATTATCCCAACTATTATCCGTCGTTTGTTTAATATGTATTTCTTTTCATCTAGCATCAACCCTAAGGCCTATGGTTTAAACATACTACTATACATTTGCGAATATGATATCCATAAATCAAATTTGCAGAAAATGTAGATAGTTGCAAAATGTGGTGAAGAATATTTGCATATTTGCGCCGTAATTACTAATTATATAGTTAATAACGTCTATAACTAAAGCACTTTTAACCAAAGTTGGACTTGTTTGGTAGTGCTTTTAAATGATTGAAAAAACTTTTAAATAAAATATTTTTGGGTTCCAAAAGTACTTAAAGTGCTTCCTAGAAGAAGCATCAGTTATGTTCTACTTCCAGAAGCAAAGTGTTTTTTTTTTTTTTTTTTTTTAAGGATCCACTTCCATTACTAAGGATTGGTTCCAAAAACATTTTCACCAAAAACGTTCAATCATTTTAAAAGCACTTCCAAACGAATTATTAACTAGCCGTAATTAACCAAATTTTCTAATGAAGGTACCCTAATTTATCTACCTTTTGATCATTGTGGGAAACTTGTCTTACTAATTTGTCTACCTTTCAAACCTGTTTCCTAACCCTCACAGTACGCTAGCAATTTGGTCAAAATAAGGCAATTCGAAACCATAGCCGCTGATTACTGACGTTTTGATGGAATACTAAGTCTCAAAAAATTTAAGATATAAATTAGTTACAAATAAACTACAATATATTAGAGAGAGAGAGAGAGAGAGAGACTTGTTGAGAGACTTCATTCTAAAATAGCCTAAAAGCGCTTCTAGATCATAAAAGAAATTGCTTCAGAAGCATTGAAACACTTTTGACAATTTCTGGAAGAGTAATAATATTTGGATCAGTTCATCATATTCGGTTATCAGTTATCTTGCAGTCATAAATTAGTTTGAATTTTTTATTTAAAATTGAAACACAAACAATGAAAACTGACGCACGATGTACGATAAATGACTAAGATAAATTGATCCTTAAGATCCTCACAAAGAGAATCCAAAGAAGATCTTTATCCGAAATATTTGAACGCATATTTCTGATTACATTCCTAATGGAAGTTGACCTTACTTATGCATGTCAGACCTTGGAACATGGTCCGGTTCAGTCGGCCTAGCCTGCAATCGAGAACCGAACTAAATATTTGATTACTTCAAGTTCCATCAGTTTTGTTCAACTCCGAAAAGAGAGAAACTAATAAGAGGAATGTTTACCCAAAAAAATGAAAAAGGGAAACTAAGAGGAAAAAATAAACGAGGAAGAGGTGAGAGGGAAGAAGTGAAAATAAGAGGTAGGAAGGGAGAACATAGGAAGAGATCAACAGCGTATAAATCCACAAGTATTAGAAAATGATCGCCAATGTATTTAGTAAACGTATTAGAAAGTGATCAACAACATAATCAGTAAATGTGACTATCACTATTCTAGCAAAAACGCTTGCAAAGAGATGGATAAACCAGTTGATTTGCCTAAACAGAACTGCACCACGTCCAGAGAGAGAGAGAGAGAGAGAGAGAGAGAGAGAGCTTGGGAAAATAGATTGAACATCGGAATATCAAAAAATTTAAGGGGAGCAAAAGCCTGTAATTGACTTCAAGGGGAGCAAAATGGGGGCAAATGAGGGAGTATTGGCATTTGCAACTGTATTGGATTCTCTTCCTCACTTTTACTTAAACGCTAAACCTAGCTTTTATCATCTTATTCCTTTTTTTTTCCTTTTTCTTTCTCTTTTCAACTCGGTTCCAACAGTTCAAACAGCCTAAATGTCATAAAACCGACTCCAAAAATAGCAGTTTCACCCGATTCCGCTGGGCCAACCAATGCTGACATTGGCACAAAAGAGAGCTACGAGTCTAGGACCCAGGCATCTACGAATGGTTGAACCATGGTCCAACATTACCATTCACATGCCCATTGCTGTGGATTCCGACACCATTTGGGATGAGCGAAGGAGGCATTCCAACGGTCATCTGGGGTGGCGTTGAAGGATATAAGCCATGATTGTGTTGGAGAGCGTGAGGGCTCACAAGAGGACTGCCGGATGGACTGCCTTTACGCTGCTGCTGAAGGGTATGGATCTGCCTGAGGCCTTCTTCATGGATGCGTGAAAGTGTTTCCAACTCCTTCATTGATAGAGCTTCCAAACCCGCCCCATACAGAGGAGCATGTCGGGACATTTCTTCCTGAAGTGATGCCTCAAGGGTGTGAATATATTGCTACATGAGATAAGGAGACGCATTAATCAAACAACAGTCTGGTATTATCCCAAATAGAAGATAAACCAAATATGAAACTTAATAAGCACCGAAGCTAGCTGCTTCTGGTGATATACAAATAATTAGGAGAAGGGAATATTAAGGTGATCATGAAAAAGAAAATGAAGGGAAAAAAAAGAGCATTGGCTATTTTGAGGGCAAAAACCTGGCAGGCCTGCAATTTTGATTCCATCCCATCAATATACGCCTCACACAGAGCAACCTGCTCTTCTTTCTCCCGTTTCTCTCCTTCTGTTTGCCCCACTGTTTGTGTCAATCGCCGTACTTCATCTTCGAGAGACTGTCGAATTTCCTCTCGGGTTACATTCTCTGTGGCATACCGTTTAAGTTCTTCATCAAATCTTTTACGTGCACCTTCAGCGCTCTTCAACCTTTCAGCAAGAGCATTTTTCTCCTTCACCAATTTCTGTCACATTCATCCATTGCAGTTAGAAAAGGGTATGTCTTGGTAGAAAAGCAAAAGACAAAAACATCAAATCAAGAAATTATCATAAACAAGGGTCAATCCAAATGTCATCAAATAATTACGCCTACTAATATTTTCTGTGAGTTCAAAATGAATGAATACTCGCAAGACTTTGGCATGAAAAACATTTAAACATGCAGCTTCCATAGATGAAATCCCTATTGCACGATCCAAAATCACGATTCATATCAAGATGTCAACTCAAATGGCATGCAGACAAAAAATGAGCCCATAACATAATAAAAACAAATATATGCTGAAAAATTAAAAGCTAAACCCAACTTCTGAAGCATCAAATAACCTGATATGAGAAAGAGAAAGCCTTTTGAGAAACTATTAAATACAGAAGAACACCTGCTTGAATAAAAGGCTGTGAGGTCATTTGAGATGACAAGACAAAAAAGCAAATTTGATACCTTCAATTCATCACGTTTTCGAGACTTCAATTGAGAGAGTTGTGTCTCTGCATCATGAAGGCGATCCTGAAGCACTTTCCTCTCTGTAGTGAGCTTTCTGATTTCATCATCTCGCTCAGAGCGGTGCCACTCAAGCTGACTCTCAACTTCTTGTATTTGTTCGGATAGTTCCTTCTTTTCTCGAGCAAAGCGATCAATCTCAGCCTTCATTTCAGACTGCCACATCATGACATGCATCAATTCTAATATTCTCCGGAAAAGAATAAACAAGATGCAATAATCGTAGCCATATCACCTAAGACAACAAGTACCTTAAGACGAGTGTTAGTGGCCTCAGATTCACTCAGTTTTTGCGATATAACAGCTTTTTCTTTAACCATAGTAGCATTTTCGGCTTTCTTTTCTTCACGCATGCGAATTATTTCATCTTCACTAGCACATAACTGGTGCCACAGAGCAGCACGATCAACATTTGCAAGTTCAGCAACCTCCCGCATCATACTCAAAACTGGTCTGATAATTTCTTGTTCTTCAGAAGCCAGCATCACCAAGATATCCAAATCTAGATCAACTTCACGGTTACTATCTGTAGTGCTAGTGGCTCGATCTACAAGTCTCTTTAGCATTCTCCCTCGATAAGTCTCGTCAGCATACCATTTCAATAATAATGTATACAGCATCTTCACAAATCCCTTAACACAATGATCTCTAGAGAGGGCCAATGCCTCAGCAAGACCAAGAACTGAAGTAAAATCGTCTCGTTGGACTCTCAGCTGTTCATTGGCATCTCCCTCTGCTGCAACATCGGTCTGCTGAAAATTATCCCCAACAAATCTACCATCAAGATTCAATCTTTGAGCAAGGCGCCTTTCCAAAACCATGGCCACAGAATGAGCCACAATGGCACCACGAGCTACAGCTCTCTCAAATGTTTGAGAGGCTTCAACTGCCAAACAAGGTATGGATAACATCTCAATCAAGATGTAAATGTCAGAAAAGAGACAACTCGAGCGGAAAGCCTGCTCATCCACCGGATGAAACCGTTCAGAAATCGGTCCATGTTCACCAAACAAGAAAAGACCAGAATTCAATGTCGAGCAAGTGTCACTAAATTCATCATCACAATCAATATCTCTAAGTATGGTTTCAGCAACATCTCCCCAGCTATTTACAGTTCTACTCAAAAATTCAAGAACACAAGGAGAAATGTTGACACCCAAATTCTTTAGCCTAACACGGACAGATCTGACCTACAATAGAGAACAAAGAAGGTTACGCATACGAAGAGAAAGGAATGCAAAAGTAAATACAATAATATAAGTGGATTTTTTTTTTCCTTAGAATAATGTAGTTAGGTAATTATTCAATCAAGAATACGTTATACACATACGGCTTCGGGGAGGTGTTGGCACTGGGATGCAGCTTTAAATATAAAATCTATGGTTGCAACAAGAGGCTCATCATTTGAATCCAGCAAAAACTCAAAAGATTGAGATAAAACTCGTTCCCACACTTCACTGCCACAGTCCAGTTGACTCAGAGCATCAAAAACCTGAGAATTACAATAAAGATAACTTAAAAGAAGAACAATGTAGCAATAGACTTGTGCAAAGGTGCACATGCTAGCTAGATTGCTTTCCATAATATATGTAAGATGCTTTGTATTAAATAGATATAAAAACACATCTGGAGAAAGCAAAATATCTTTGAACGACAATAAGTAAATAAATCTTACAGGTGTCCGCAAAGCAGGTTCTGCATCTGGCTTTTGAAGTCGTTCTATAAGTGCAAAAGCAGCAAGTGGATGCTCTGAGTGCTCAACCAACTTGGGCACCAAAGCAACAAGATCAGACTGCAAATGCTTTGGCGCTTTATCCAGTACAAGAGCGATCTTTTGTGCCGACTGAGGCCGACGTCTTGGTTCAGGACAGCCTTGTGGAACAGCTCCATCTAGAGCTCGCAACGAGTTTACAATCAATCCTAAGAGCTCCTCTGATTGCTCTGGCCACTTGGTCTGAAATTCAATTTGTTAAAACAGGTCAGTACTATCACTTAAGCTGCATATCAAATACTAGATCAACAATGTAATGCACCTTTGAGCGAAGGGTCACATTTTCCAACACCCCGGCAGATGTTTCTGGAGGACAAATTGGTTTTCCAGGAACAGTTTTTCTAGGTACACCAATCCCAGTCACGTCAGAGCTTTGAACAGCCGAAGAGCTGCTGCTAGTTTCATCAGCGCCAGTATCCAATCTTTCACATACAGATTCTGTAGCTCCATTTTCTCTATCGGGTTGCAACAGACTAGCAGCTCCGCTTCCATCTGGAGACTTTGAGTTTGTATCAGACAAGTCACCATTAGAAGTCCCTTCTGTAGGTTGGCAACACTCAACCATAATGTCCAAAAGTAAATCAATGATAGCCTGCTGCAGAACTTTGACTCCCATAAGCAAATTCATCAAACTAGGGGAAGATTCATCATTCTTTTTGACCTTCATCCCATCACTGCTACCAGAAAGCTTGGTCGGAAGAAGCAGGCGTTTTACTTTAGCAGGGTCATCAAGATAAACACGGAGCCCAGTCAGAAAACCAGCAATAGCACCAGCATCCATCAGAAGTTTTTCTCGTAAAGTGACCTGTGGCTGTGAAGGATTATCTCCGTATGTGAGGTGAAATCCAGCTCTAGAAAGTAGGTTTCTAAAGATATCTTCTTCATCACCACCAATTCCTTCACTGTCTTCAGAATCAACAAGCTCATCAGGATCTGTTGTCAATGCATCCTGATCATCCTCCGAAGCAAAAACCTGACAGGCAAAATGCATACCAATAGGCAACCACCATAAAAGAGTAGAAGGGGAAGACCATTCTTAGTCAAATTGTATTGCTACAGTGGCAAGCTAAAAGATAGTGAGACGTATAAACTGACTGCTTAAGTTAAATGGAAATTTTATTGCTCAAGGCAGAGACATTAACAAGGTTAAAACAAAAGGAAAACTAATGAAAGGGGTTTGAAAACTTTGAGTTTTAACGATAAGGACAAAATAAAGGTAAAGTGAATAGTACCAGGATTGACTTTTTACTGTAAAAATGTGGTTTTTCGTTAAAGTGAACAGTACCATGAGCTTTTCGTTAAAACTCCCTAAAACAAATGTACCCTTGTTCTAAATTAAATGTTACGCCGACAGATGAAGCAGGCAAACTAACATCAACCATCCCATGATAACAACATAAATATATCTCAAACCATGTTAGAGAAGACGTGTAAAAATTAAAGAACCAAACAAATCTTCCCAGAAAATTAAAAAAATCGGTATCAGCACTTAAGAATCAACAAACTTGAACATCAGACAGACAGTATAAATACAACCATGATTAGCAGGCTGTCTATAACTGAAATATGCATGTAAACACTAACCTCGAGATCTGAAAACTCAAACCAAGGACAGCAGTCCAATATTTCGCAAACAAAAACAACAGTATCACGAACAAGAAACCCTGCATCTGCTTCCAACATATCCGACACCTTCATGAATTGTAAAACAGAATTGTTCCAAGTCTTTGTACATATAGATGACTCCTTCCACACAGTTTTAGCAGGGTTCTTTTGATTCACAACAGCCATCCTGTATCTAACCCAAAAGTTTTTATCCAGATCACTACCAACTGACTGGTCACTCTCCAAATAAATACATATGGTGTCAAAGGACTCATATACACCTGCATCACGGAAAACAAATGTCAGTAAAATTAAGAAATGCAAACAAATGAGACCACCTTTTTAGTGGAGAATATGTGTGACTGCTGCATACCAATTCGAAGTTCACATCCACCAGCTTGGAAGAATTTGCTAAAGATTTTTCGGGTCTCCATTATTTCCTTAAAAGACAGGAAATTCTCCACCTTCCAGGTGAAGGAACTTCTTTTTCCGTTCTTATCAATCTGCGAACCAGCACTGCTTGACTCAGTATCCTGATCAGTAAACTCTTGCATTATTGATGTCTCTTTCAATATAAGGACCTCCGCTGAGAATACAACAGTGTCCAGAATAAGAAACCCTGAATCTTGATCAAAGAGACTAGTAAGCGTCACAAATTCACGCCAGCCCCAGTCCTTTGCAGCTTTGGAGTAGCGATTCTGAGACTCCTTCGTGACAGACTTCTCCTCCATCCTCTGGTTAACAACAGACAAACGATGGCTCACAAAACAACTCCAGTCACTAGAAGTGTTCCGTGAATCAGTAACTTCCAGAAACACTGAAAGGTGGCATGGTGGTTGAGACTGCCCTGATACCACAAAAAATATGGAAAATTTTCATCAGTTCACTCTCTGAGGCACAAGCTGGATAGGTTTTATGTTGTCTACCACATTAACAAAATTTTATCATTCCACCATATGGCATTTCAAACATTTCATGACATCCACAATCCTAAGAACTAAATAAGCATGCCTCAGCATAGCTCAAGTAACATCGAGGCTTCGAGCACAACGATCAGAGTAGCAGAGTATAAACAATATATGCAAATTATGGTGGTTTATGCTATCTTAGATAGCATTAATACATACCATATTTGCAGTGGCCCATGATGCCAAGTAACTACAGATGCAGCTCCATACGTTCAAGTGGTGGGATAATAGGGAAGGACATGTAAAATCATTTTCAAATAGGATGAATAAGGTACTACTAATCCTCAAATATCTGTATGAGATTGTATCACATGGTTTCATAGCTTTGCAACATATTAATTCACAAAAAGAAAGAGTTATTGATTGTTACAACAAATTATTGAGAATAAAACAGAGAATTCTCTTGTGCAATAGTGCAATAGCGAAGCATACCTCGGGGATAAACAATGAGCCGACAGTCCCGATTTCCAATCTGAAACCTCCTGCTCTTAATGCAAAGACCCGTTATCTTCCTCTTCTTTAAAAGATCCTTCAACCTAGTGAAGTTGTCAATCCTCCAATTGAATTTCCCCATGTGACCATCCAACTTCCTTGCCCCACTACCACTCCTCCCCATAATTAATCCTCCATTCTTCGAAAAGCTACTAAATTCCTTTATCACATGAAACGATGTACTAAACACCGCAGTATCATCCAATAAAAACCCCGACTCAGTCCCAACAAAATCTGACATCTTCATATAATCATTCCACCCCAAACTAGTGTTATCCCCACTCTTATTATCAGCAGCAAACCTCCCATACGAGTCCCTATGCATGTGATTAGTCCCAGGCTTCTGGTTCAACACCGACATTCGAAACAAACACCAACAACTCCTATCAGACAACACAACCGTCTTGTCCGTGTCCTTGCTCTCCAAACACATTGACAAAAACTCCACGCCGTTCACCGAGCTCTGGTACACACTAATCCTCAAATTACACTCTCCAGCAGGAAACACCGGGCTCATTATCTTCTGAGTCTTAATCATCTCCTTAAACAAACTAAAGTTTTGAACTTTCCAAGTGAACTTGCCACTCAACACATCAGAAACCGGTCCGGCCACCGCAGAACCTGACATCATCGAGCCGATGGACGATTGGAGCTCATTGTTATTGTTATTACTATCTCGCGTAAAATTAACGGACTCATTCAATATCAAGATGTCGGCGGTAATCAAAACGGAGTCCGTATTGAACAAATAACCTAATTTCGAATCAAAGACAGTAGAAGAAGGCGTAAAATCGCACCAACCGTGAGATTTCTTCTTGCTCGAGAACCGATGCCAAGAATCGCGATGAATGGTCTTAGAATCGTCGGCGAGGTTGACGATGGCGAGCCGATAACTCGCGAAGCAGTCCCATTTGGACGACGAGGTGCCCCGCGGGTCCATGATTTGGAGGTATATCGAGATGTACCCCGGCAGCGCCTGTGAGTCACCCTTAGGGTATATTAGCAACCGGCAATCGTATCCCCCTACCTCGAAGTACTTGCTCCACAGTGCCCTAGCCTTGATTCTCGGAAAATTCTGGACCGTCCATCGGCAGACCGTCGAGTACTCGCCCCGCCGATCGACGGTCACGCTCTCCTGTGCCCCCCCGCCGTCCCTGGACCCCACGGAAAGGTCCTCCGGCGCCGCCGCCGGTATCGACGGAAGCTTTTCGGAGGCTCCCGAATTCGGCGATGAGGTGGCGGGCTGCGAATGGTCCGCCGAAGTGGATGCGGCGGAGGAGGACGACGACGACGACGACGATACCGCCTCGCACGATGATGAGCTCTGCTGCTGCTTCATTAGGGGTTTCGTTTCGTTTCGTTTCGTTCGCGTTTCTCTCTCTCCTCACTCTCTGGTTTTTGTATTATTTATTTTTATTTTTGATCAATTTTAGGGAGGAGGAGAGAATGGTGTGTGTGGTGAGCGCCTTGAGAGGGTACAAAAAGAAGAGGAAGAAGGGAGGGCACTTTGGACACAAAGCGGCGCATTGTAGTTAACCTGCGCCGTCCCTCTGCTTCCCTCTGCTTCTCTCTACCCTTTTTGTATTTTTTTTTAATTTATTTCTTTTTTCCTAATTTTTTGCCTCTCTAAGGTTTGGCTAGTTGTGATCCTCTACGTCCAAGTTTCATTTCGCTACGTTAGAAGACCGTTGATCTGGTGGCTATTGCACGTGCGATGGGGCCCACGTGGGTCATGGGGCCAATCGGGGGCTATGACTGCACGTGCTTCGGGAAGATCCGCTGCTGCCCGGGGCTGTTTTTTCTTTTCCAGCTGCATGGGGCCACGTCATCGTTTCTAATACTTTTTGGACCGTTAATATACTCTTGGATTTTGCCTTTTTTTTTAGCTTTATTTTCACTACTTGAGAATTTGGTGCGACGACCTTTTATGTTTATTTATTATCGAAAATGTTATTTTCAATCCAACACAAAAAATTTGTTTTTTTTTTTTAACAAATATCTCATTAATTGATAAAGGGGCATTTTAAATACATATCATTTCTTCAAAAATAAAAATAAAAATCATGAAAAATTCAATTTCAAAAAGATTCTTGCAAACCATATCTAAAACTATTATTATAAAGTATCACTAATCGCCAAGTAAGGAGTAAACATCAAAGCACTTGTCTAAATTCATCGAGAACCGCTACGACTACACAAATTAATAAAATTATTAAACTTTGAGTCACAGAAGATAAAAAAAAAAAAATTGTTAACAAAACTAAAAACAAATCCTCATATATACTTTTTTGTTTGATTATATTGAACTAAAATGTTAAACATAAAAAGGTAAAAAAGACCTCCCATATTTTTTTGGTCAAATAAAAAAAGACCTTTCATCGTCCCATGTCTTTCGTCACACACTGATGTCTGCCTGTTGACTCTCCTCATCTTCGACCAGTGCATATGGTGAAGGCATTGGACAGGCGTAAGAAGAAATTTTCCCTTTCATATTTTGTATTGTATTTATGAATTTTGTTACGTTCTAATCTCAATATTACATTTATGAATTTTGTTACATTCCAATCTTGATACACGCTAAGGATCAATACTTGACCATCCTATGAACCGCTTGAAAATCAAACCAAGACCAAAAAGACAATCAAACTAAACTATTTGTTCAGTTTCGATTTTGATAGTTCAAAAACATAACCAAATAAGATATAAATTAATATTTTTGTTTATTTATGTTGGGTATATTCAAAGCCCAATTATAAGTCTACTATTAACCCAAAGGCTAAGTAAACCCAACTTTAGGCCCAAATATGTTAAAAGCCTTATTCCTTAGATTTTTTTTTTCACCTTTTCATTTGTAGGTTAGAAAAATATATATTAAAAAAATTGAACCAAATTGAACCGAATCAAATCAAATAATAATTTTGATTTGGATTTCAGTTTTCTCAAAAAGTCTAATCGAATGAAACCGAACCCATCTTTTCATCGCACAAATGTGAGACAAAAAATTGAATATGAAAAGCTGAAAATTGACAAATTTCAAGTGGGAAAATGAAAATATACAAAAGCATACAAATTTTGAAATGAATAAAAAGCCCTAGTTGCGCTAAAAATAAAACCCTGGGGAGAGATAAATAATATAAAATAATACTAGGTAGATTAAATTTTAGATCAAATATACTAATTATGTGATGTGTCACCAATAAGAGTTGATTTCTCTAGCATTACTCAACAGTATAAGAAAATATTTTTGCTCAACATCATAAACTATCGTGTATGTTCACCAAAATCATATGCATAATTATTTGCCACATGTTCTTTCACTTAACATTGGTTAAATTTTTTTTTTAAATTGAAAAAATAACATTTAATGCAAAAGTTAACTAGAGCTACGTGAAAGGACACGTGACAAATTTTAGGTGTATAATGCGTGTACATACTTATGGTGGTGAGCAAAAATGCTTCCACAATATAATAGTGTTTCAGCCACGTGTCAGCGCACAGGGTCGGTAGATTTGTGAAAGCTCTGTAATCCCAAGTGTGACTCGCACATTTCCTTCACCAGCATCTAACTCGGAGCCCTGACTCAGCCCCAATTCCTCCGAGTCTCTGACAGTTGATTTCCCGCCTCGCCGAGTCCGACCCGGTAAACCACTGTAAGATCGCCTAAATTCTCACTCTATTACTCTGATTTTCTGTGTGTTTAGCATTTAGCCATGAGATTAAGTGGATCGTTTTGACCTTGGACTTGGATTATTATAACTGTTTGGATGCCGAGAAAAGTTGGGAACGTGAAAGAAAGTTAAATTGTGTGTTTAATCTGTATGTGAGGGTTAGATTAAGAAAATTCAACGGCAAAGAGCGGCTTTCAAGTTCTTTAGTTCTTAATTTTGGGGTTGTCGATTGTGCATTTGTCTGTGAAATTGTGAGTTTGTAAGGATTTTTGTTTTTTTATAGGAAAACTATAATTTGCTCAAGGTGTGATATTTCAGCACTGCCTACTAAAGTTACACGTTTTGATACAATCACCATCTCGATGGTCAGATGGTGAGTGTGTATATATTCACATAATTATATCTGGTCGTCGAGATGGTGATTGCATTAAATACAGAGTAGAGTCAAATCTGATAATTTCACTCTTTTACAATTTTGATTTTACTACTGAGTTTACAAAAATGGATGTTTTAAGATTTTTGTGTTGTATGCAAAATAGATTATGGTTTCTATGGTGGCCTTTTGGCAACTGGGTAGTGTTACTTTTCAGTGATTCCGTCGTGCTTAGCTTGAAAAGGGAGGAGGGTTGTGTTCGGCACGACGGAATCCTAACAGAACCCTTCTCCCTTTTGTTGTTATATCACATTTGTGTTAGACATGGATCCTGAAAACAAAAATTTCATCACATTTTTGTTGTTGTATAGGCAGCTGGGCGCTCTGCCGGTATTTGACGAAGATGTTTTCTTTAGGTTTAATGGTGCCTAAAAAGATTATGCTTTTATGATTGTGATTTCAGATGGAAGAAGTTTCTCTCAACACCGAGCCAGTCTTTGACGAAGGGGATGACTATGAATTGGAGGGAGATTTTACCGAGCATGATCATGGAACTGGGGAAACAAACAGAAAAAAGGACCCCGGAGAACCTACGGTGGGTTTGGAGTTCGATTCATTTGATGAAGCATATGATTTTTACAATCTCTATGGTAAACAACAGGGCTTTGGCATCAGAGTAAGCAATTCATGGTTCAGATCAAAGAAAAAAGAGCGGTATCGAGCAAAGCTAAGCTGCAGCAGTGCAGGTTTCAAGAAAAAGAGTGAAGCCAATAATCCAAGACCCGAAACAAGAACTGGTTGTCCTGCAATGGTCATTATCAGGCTGGTGGACTCCAAAAGGTGGAGAATAGTCGAATTAGAGCTTGAACACAATCATCAGGTGAGTCCACAAATCAAAAGGTTTTACAAGTCGCATAAGAAAATGATTCTTGCTGCCAAAAGTGCTCAACCGCCCCCAGAGCCCGTTACAGAAGTTCATACTATCAAGCTGTATCGAACACCTGTTATGGACGTTGGGTGCAGTGGATACTCAAATTTTAGTGAAACTGAAGGTTTGAATTCGACTGATCTCGCTAAGCACTTGGAACTTAAAGAAGGAGACACTCATGCAGTTTATAACTACTTTTGTCGAATGAAACTGACGAACCCTAATTTCTATTATTTAATGGATCTTGACGACGATGGACGCCTGAGGAATGTGTTTTGGGCTGATGCCAGGTCCAGGGCTGCATATGGCTACTTCTGCGACACGGTCGCAGTAGATACAACATGCTTGGCAAACAAATACGAAATCCCCCTGATTTCATTTGTTGGCGTAAATCACCATGGACAATCGGTTTTGTTGGGCTGCGGCTTCCTTGGGCAAGAGTTGGAGGAAAATTTTGTTTGGATGCTCAAGGCATGGCTCAAATGCATGCTAGGGCGCCCTCCACAAGTTTTCATTACTGATCAATGTAAGCCCTTGCAAAGTGCAGTGTCTGAGGTTATCCCGAACGCTCGCCATTGCTATTGTTTGTGGTATATCATGCAGAGAGTTCCAGAGAAATTGGGAGGACTGAGGGGATACGACGAAATCAAGAGACAATTGCACAAAGCAGTCTATAATTCCTTGAAGATAGCTGAGTTTGAAACTTCATGGGCAGAAATGATCAAGCGGCACGAACTAGGGGATAATAGATGGCTTCAAACATTGTACGAAGATCGGCAGATGTGGGTTCCGGTGTACTTAAAAGACACATTTCTTGCAGGAATGATCCCTATCCGAGAACATGAGAGCTCGACTGCATTTTTTGATGGTTATGTGCATAAGCATACGTCTTTCAAGGAATTTGTCGATAAGTACGATCTAGCTCTACATCGGAAGCGCATGAAAGAGGTGGCAGCGGATGTGGAGTCGAGGAGTTCAAGCTTTGAACTAAGAACGAGATGTAATTTCGAGGAACAGCTACGTAAGGTGTATACGAAGGAAATTTTCAGGAGGTTCCAGTTGGAGGTTGAGGGCATGTACGCCTGCTTCAACACAAGACAGGTGAATGTGACTGGGTCTATACTAACCTACATAGTCAAGGAACGGGTTGAAGTTGAAGGAAACGAGAAGGAAGTCCGATGCTACGAGGTTTTGTACGAATCAGCACAAGTTGATATACGATGCATCTGCAGTTTGTTCAACAACAAAGGTTATCTATGCAGGCATGCATTGAACGTTCTTAATTACAACGGCGTAGAAGAAGTCCCGTCGCGCTATATTCTGCCACGGTGGAGTAAAGATTTCAAGTGCAGGTATCTTCTCCATCACAGCTCGAGTGATATAGACGCGTATAACCCAGTGTACTGGTATAAGCATCTCTATAAACTTGCCCTTCCCGTTGCGGAAGAAGGGGCACAATCGGAAGAAAATTATAAGACTACCTTACTAGCATTGGAGGAGTTATTAAACAAGTTTCATCTTGTAGAGGATAACCAAGTGTAACAAAGAACGGTATATGATAGTACTGTATACAAATATCCTCTTGAAAGATGACTCTGCTGCTTCTTTTGAACTGCATTCATACGCTCACTCACTCCTACACACACAAACTTGGGCAATACCAGAGCAGTTAGGGAGTCTTTCTAGTGCCTGCGGCAATTGCTATTTTGTAGTGTATATAATGTGCAAAATAGGCAAAACCCATGAGTTTCACAAAGTTATGTTTTGCTGATGAACACGAACTAAGCTCTTCGGTCTATTAATCAAAATCACAATACAAGAAACAACTAGATAAAATATGACCAGCCATAAATATAATAAACTCATCAAGCTATGTTTCAAGAAACACACAACCTAGCGGCCAAAAGATAAACAAGAAAATACAACCTGAACCAGTTCAAAACTCCCACAGGCTACACACACAAATGAGCGATTTGAAATCACATAAACACAAGAATCTGACAACTTACGTCTGTGGAAGTTTAAATAGAAGAATCCCATATACCCAGAAGAGGAAGAAAACGAAGTAAAAGCACGTTCCAATTTCACTTGTTTGTCATGCTCACTACTTCAAGCAGGAGGGTAGTGCGAGGCCATGGCAAACGAAAGCCAGCACAACATAAATTACTACTAGCACAAGGAATATCAATGCAACCCTGCAAGATTCAAAGCACTTGGTAAGTGGGGGCAGACAAATAATGCATTTACATGAATGAAAATACTCTTGCCATAAAATTTACGATAAACTGAGGTTTGAATATATAGTCAAATTGACTTGGCAGTCAAGCAATCTAATATAAAACATTACCATTACACAAAAGTATAAAACGCTGTTGCTAGACAATATAACACAAGCTGTGGTATCTTTACATAGCTGAATTGACAGTCTAGTCTAGCAACATAATATTCCATACTGACAGACATAAAAACATCACTGTTGCATAAAACACTCGTGCCAGACAATCTAGCACAAACTGTGGGTTGAATACGTAGTTGAATTGACAGTCTAGCAACGTAACATGTTGGACACACTAGCTTTGTAACTTTACCATTACATAAAACACTCTTGCCAGATAATCAAACACAAACTGTGGTTTGAATACGTAGATGAACTCACAGTTTAGTAATGTGACCGTCTGACATGAAAACGTAACCCATTGCATAAAGTACATACAACTCTTTAAATCATAGGATGAAAAGAAAAGAAAAATTGATAATTTCGACGTTTCTGTAGCTATTGAATTGAGCTTTGAGTTTAGAAAACATACGTGAGCTTAACATTTTTCCACCACACACTGGTTCTGAATCGGCGAGCTTGCTTTCTGAACCGGAAGGTATTGTCTTGCATATTAGCAGTTTTATCAACCAGCAACTCCAAGCGATCCCCTCTATCCAAAACTTTGTCAATGTTCTCAATCATCACATTTCGCACCTACAAATCCGAAAACTCAATAAGAAATCAAACCACAATCGATAAGAAAAAGAATGAACAAACTGGATCCACATTCCACGATTAAACTTGGTCAATTGGTGACAAAATTGACATCTTTCTACCTGGCTCATTTCGCCTTTGAGTCGATTGATCCTATCGGCATTAGGATCATTGGAGTAATACTCCATCTGCTGGCTCAAAACCCTAGAAAACTCATCGTTCATGCCGTAAGCCTGAGCCGAATGAACAGCGCGGCCGTAGGTCCTCACGAATCTCTGGTGGATGTCCTCCAGAAAAGCGAAGGGCATTCTCCCTGCACCAAAAATCGAACAAAATAAAAAAAATTGAAAATTGGGGGAGGGAAACTGTGCGAAATTGTGAATTGGGTCAAACAAACGACGACGTACGGGCAGCGGTCTCGTCGGCCATACAGAGGACGGTGAGGCCATCGGTGCGCTTGACGTGGAAGATGTAGCGATCTTGAGAGTAGGAGACGTGGGTGTCGCTGTCGCCGGGGATTTTCTCGAGGATTTGTCTGGAGATTGTGCTCGCGTTCGTCGCCGTGCCGCTGAACTCCGCTAGCACCACCGATCCCCGTGCTACCAGCGCGTACAGTATCGCCATCTCCCCGCCACCACAACCACCGCCAAGATCAGCTCAAATCTTTCTCTCTCTCTCTCTCTCTCTCTCTCTCTCTCTCTCTCTCTCTCTCTCTCTCTCTAAGCAATTACGGGAAGCTACCGACGGCAACCGACTCTCTCTTTCTTCTCGGTAAGATTAGCTCAAATCAGCCATTTTTGGTGTTCAAAAATCGAAAATGAAAGGTTTCACTCTCTCGCTTTCTCTCTCCATCGCCCTGTTAAGTCGCTTTCTCTCTCTGTCGCTCTGTTAACTCTGTTTTATTTTTTATTTTATTTTATTTGGCAGAAATTGCTGAAATTGTGGATTATTGAATTATTCATAAAACGGAATATACAGCAAATGACATGTGGACTATTGATTGATTGAAATATAAATCAACGGTTTAAAGTCATCTGAAAAAGATTTGCTAAACATAGTAGTTGTAGTTTTCATTCTTACGTGGATAATTCAGTACCGTTAGTGAGTTGTACAATATATAGAAGGTTCTCGCACGGCCTCACGAGGAGAAGAAAAACTTATGTAGTGTCAGTCAGTAAAATTCAGTGATAAGACAAGTTCAACATAAGTTTTTCTTCACAATGAGATAAAAAGTGTATATTTGCTCAGGTTTCACATTATTGATTATCGCTAGGTAAGTGTGATTTTAATCAACATAATTTTTAAAGTTCATACTCATTTAATGATAATCAAGAAAGCGAGTACAAATTCTCATACAATAAGAGTTCGTGTGACAATCACGATTCATACTAATAACACTTTCCAATGACCAAATCACTTACGAAAACAGTCTACATAAATATTAAAGCTCTTATTTGTTAGAAAAAGTAGTTTTTATGCATTATTGAGTGATTTTCCACAAAACAATTCGAACTTTTTTATTTAACTTTTTGATGTCTTTATACTAAAAACACTTATATCCAAAATGACAATATTGCTTCCGAATTAGGATTGAGAGCCTCGTATGAATCAATAATGGTTCGGTTAAGATGGAAATCAGTATAGTCCAGTCTAAAATTTAAACAAATGAATTCTTATTGTTAATTATTGTGAAGTTCATCCATTTAGTGAAAATTAGCTCATTTGCTCAACAAAAAAAATTGAGGCACCCCACGTAAACGACTCTTAAGATAAAGTTTGACACTTGGTTACACATAATACAAGAAAAAATGAAAATTGTATCCCAAAATTCATGCTTGCCCTGTAAGAGATATTGGTCTTGATTGTTTCCCACTCTCAACCAATGTACTATATATCCCTTGAACAACAAAACAAAACAAATTAATCATATTCATTAAACAACAACAAAAAAAAAAAAATATTTATATTGATATATTTTTGGTATAATAATGAAGGCGTACGGGCGGCCAGCCATGGAATGGATGGCCTCAATTCAAGCAGAAAGGCGGGTTTTTGGATGGTCCCATGCTTTTGATAGTGTCATGTGCCGGCCTATATATTTCAATTTTGCTTCTCAAATAACCAGCGTGTGCCCCCCCCACATCCAAAAGGTCCTTGGATATTTTATGGAAGATGATTTTTTTTTTTTTTCTGTTTGAAATTGGCTTTGGTAGCTTTTATGTGTTATCCGTCTTACGATCGACATGTATATAAAAAAAGTAAATAAATACTTGATAAAACCCCCATGGGAAGACGATGCCAGCTTTCTAGTTTCTTTTCTCAGATGCCTTTGTTTCATTTTACAAGTTCTACTGCCATCTGTCGCATTCTCGTCTTTCTTTGTAGATATATTTGCATTTATTTTATGTTCTGTCACGCGTTATTTCTATGTCTATATGTGTGACTATTTCGCTCAAAGTGTTTTAAATAATAACCGCTGCATTTTTTTTTCTTTTTACTTTTGTTTTAATAAATGATATTATTTTCACTTTCATCTTACTATGAAGTTTTGAATATTAACGTAAAACTTTCCGTTGAGATTCTTGAGTTTTGAACCCCATTTGACAATGTTGTGGGTTTCACTACTATATTTTTTCACTTTTTTTTTAGTTTTCGGCTTAAATATCTACTGAGTATACATTTGTTGCTCAATAAACCGTAAAATTGCTTCCAAATTCCTAAATAAGTTTAACTTAATGCTCAAGAAAAATATTTTTGCGAAAATAAAAAAAATTGAACTTTTGTCAAAACACGCAAGCGTTGGGAGGGCTCGACTCATGCAAAACGAGGCAGACTCAACTCACCAAAACGAGGCAAACCATGGCACAAAACAAGGCAGGTTCTGCTTACAGAAAACAGGACGGGCTTCTAGGACACAAAACAAGGCGAAGTCTGCGCATGGAAAATAAGGCAAGATACGTTGCACAAATCGAGGCTAGCCTTGTGCATGGAAGACAAGGCTGGTTCCATGCACGTCAAAACAATGCGGCCTCTGTGGACGCAAAAAGGGGCAGACTTTTGGCACACAAAATGATGTGGACACCTCACGTGCAAAACAACGCAAATCCGGGCACACAAGACGAGGCGGCTCCGCGCACATAGAATGAGGCAAACTCCCGGGTGCTCATAAAACGAGTCGGGCTCCATGTTCTTCAAAATATATTTTTCCGTGCAAAATCTATTATAATTCGTATTTAAACACTTGTAATCAACAATTTAAAACCTAAATTTAAAGATATTTGAACCTTTGTTTTTGGTAATTTTTCTTTTATCTAAATCTGAACTACATATTAATAAAACCCTTTTTGTCCACCAAAAAATGGTGAAAGACTATTTAACAAAATAAAATTTTGTCATTTTTTGTTTAAGCTTCAACTACATGTGATTTTACAAAAACCTTTACAAAAATGTTTTGAGAAAATAAAAAAATTGCAATTGTTTACAAAAACGTGGATTTACACTCAATGTTTTCAGTCGGTTTTGCAAATTCATACATAAATTACCGTTCAATCTATTTATTTTCACCTTCGCCTCACTGTGAAGTTTTGAAAATTAAGGTCAGACTTTCCGTTGAGATTCTTGAGTATAGAACCCTAATTGACTATTTTACGGGCCTCACTACTATATTTTTTTTTAGTTTTCGGCTTAAATATTCTATTAAATATAAATTTGTTGCTCAATAAACTATAAAATTGCTTCTAAATTCCTTTAAAAGTTTAACTTAATGCTTAGGAAAAATATTTTATGAAAATAAAAAATTTGCATTTTGTCAAAAAGCATGAGTGTTAGGCGGGTTTGACGCATGCAAAACGAGACAAACTATGACACGTAAGACAAGGCAAACTCCGTTCACCAAAAATGGGGTAGACTTTTGGCACGCAACCAAGGTAAGCTCTGGGCATGAAAAACAAGAAAGAAGATGAATGTTGGAAGGAAGCTGAGTTTTCCAAGGCGATATTAGACCCGCCTGAATCGTTTCATTTTCTTTTTATCTTTACGTTATGCAGGTGGAGAGGGAGGCAAAAAGGGAGGGGAGAGAGACATGAAATAAAAGGGGGTATATACTTGATGCATGTCAAAAAATTTGAGTTTTTTTTTTTTTTTTTTTGTCAAATTGTAGATAACATTGACAAAACAAATCCAACAAAAACAAATTATAACTATATAGCTCTAGAAAGGACTAGCATACAAAAATAAGACGCCACATATGCAACTAAAACATGAGTAAATAAAACATGAATAAAGGTTTTTCCCTATAGCAATTACATGTGGATTTTGTATTTTCGATTGAAATTTGAGTTGTTGGATTTATTCTAGTTTCATGAAAATCTAATTAGTGCAGTTTATATGCCGATTTACACAGTACCTACAACATAAATTGGTTAAACTGTGATAAGGTAGAAAAAATTAAGACACGAATTAGAAGCAGGAAAAATAGGAACTAATACTTATACTTAATTCTAAAATAAAGAAGAAGATAAACCTATAATTAGTCCACTTGAAGTAGTATTTTTATTAAAAATTTCGATGTACTTCCTAATAAAAGCACTTTTGAGCCGATGTTCTTTTTAATAACAATGTCCAGAGGGCTTTTAGGTCCTTCTACACAATTAATTGGGCCTCAGGCAAACATTTAAAGGTCCAAATGGACAAGCCCTTCATTTTCGGGCCTCAGATTTTCTTTTCAATTCTTTTATACCTCCAAAAGAAAAGAAAAAAAGAATCCTCTCAATTTCTTGATAAAAATAAATAAATAAGTAAATAATTAGAAAAACCACAATTTTATGCCCAGAACAAGGGGCGGGCTTTTGGCGCAGAAAATGATGTGGACACCTCAGGTGTAGAACAAGGTAAATATGGGCACACAAGACGAGGCGGCTCCGTGCACATAGAATGAGGCAAACTCCCCGGTGCTCATAAAACAAGGCAGACTCCATGTTCTTCAAAATATATTTTTCCGTGTAAAATCTATTATAATTCGTATTTAAACATTTGTAATCAACAATTTAAAATCTAAATTTAAAGATATTTGAACCCTTTATTTTTTGGTAATTTTTCTTTTATCTAAATCTGAACTACATATTAATAAAACTCTTTTTGTCAACCAAAAAATGGTGAAAGGCTATTTAACAAAATAAAATTTTGTCATTTTTTGTTTAAGCCTCAACTACATGTGATTTTAACATCTCTAATTTTTAGAAAGAAAAAATTAAAAAATATACACTAAATATAAATTTTAGCAACTGACACACCCTGACCCTGAATGTCCACTACGACTCCGAATCGAGCTGTGCTAGCCGACACCTAGAAGGTGACGAAGTCATAAAGTGTAGTGATGTGGAAAAAAAAAGAAAAGTGAATAAATTAAACTAAACTAGAACTAATTAAAATTAATAGTGAAAGAGTGCGCGGTCCTGGGAACACATCCCAGTCTCGACTCCGTCGTAGCACAATATTGTCCACTTTGGGCTTACCATTCCTTCATAGATTTGTTCCTTCACAGATTTGTTTCTGGGAACTCAGACGAGAACTTCTCAGTGGGTCACCCATCCTAGGATTACTCTCGCCCGAACTCGCTTAACTTCGGAGTTCCGATGGAATCTGAAGCCAGTGAGTTCCCAAAAGGCCTCATGATATAGAGAGGGGAGCATGTACATATAAAGTACATCACCCCCTCTCCGTTAGTCGATGTGGGATCTTACAACATCTCTATTATTTTTCCCTTATTTTATTTTTTTACTTTTCAGCTTAAAAATATTCTACTAAATCTACTTTGTTGCTCAATAAATTGTTAATCTGCTTCCAATATATTGTAAAGATTTCCTTAATGCTCGCGGAAAATGTTTCGAGAAAATAAAAAATTTGCAATTATTTACAAAAAACGTGGATTTACACACAATGTTTTCAGGCTTTTGCAAATTCATACGTAAATCACCGTTCAATCTATTTATTTTCACCTTCGCCTCACTATGATGTTTTGAAAATTAAAGTGAGACTTTCCGTTGAGATTCTTAAGTGTAAAACCCCAATTGACTATGTTATGGGTCTCACTTACTATATTTTTTTCACTTATTTTTTGTTAGTTTTCGGCTTAAATATTCTATTAAATATAAATTTGTTGCTTAATAAACTGTAAAATTGCTTCCAAATTCCTTTAAAAATTTAACTTAATGCTCAGGAAAAATATTTTACCAAAATAAAAAATTTGCATTTTGTCAAAAAGGATGAGTGTTAGGCGGGCTTGACGCATGCAAAACGAGGCAGACTCAACTCACGCAGAACGAGACAAACTATGGCATGCAAGAAAAGGCGGGCTCCGTTCACCGAAAATGGGGCAAACTTATGGCACGCAAACGCGGTGAGATCTGAGCATGAAAAATGAGGCGGAATACGTCGCTCAAAAATATACCAAAATGATTCAAATTATTGCTAGTGCCACAAAGTGAGCGTGACTTTCCAAGTGGCAATAACTGTTGTTTCTTATATGTCTACGTTTTTCATTCTTAGCTCATTCTTTTCATTTACACAAGAAAAAACTACCCTAGAACTCTAAGGCCCTGTTTGGCAGCTCGGACTGTACTGACTATTTCTGTCAGATAGGATAAATAGCCACCGGATAGTACTGACTAAATTAGTCGGGCGTTTGGTGCAGTATTGGATTAATGACCGTATTATTTATACTGTGTTTGGTACTGAACCGGATAAGACAAGAAAAAAAAAAATTTAACAAAACTTTCTTTCTTTGTTGAACTTTTCTCATATTTATACCTATTGAAAACCACATAAATTTTCCAATAACAAAGAAAAATAGTAAATTTCATACATCAAGTATGGAGAGCAATGCATCTTCTTCATGTTGTTTCCAAACCCTTCTACTTCCTTTTGGTTGACTATGTTCACTTTCCATTCCTACAATTACATACACAACATGTGAAACACCCTTTATATTGGCATTACGACATCTAATCAATAATGCATATAATTAATAGTAAGTGATAAAAATCATAAGCATATCATCACACTTTTTAAATAAATACATAACCAGGTTGCACTTTGTTCAAATAAAGTATCATAACCGAATACATAAGAAATCACTATTTGTTCAAATAACAAACCATAACCAAATCACAACATGCATATGTAAAAAAATTTAATAAAATCACACTGTGCACGCCACTCATTGTACATATTCATAGCCAAAGTGTTTCTCCATGCAGTCCATTCTTGTGTAGGTTGAACACTGTCAATCCATGCAGTCCATGCAATCCATTCAAGTACCACACGCTAACAATGAAGCATGCCACAATCTTTCTTTGATCCATGTCTAGTGATAATATAAAATAACATTATTAGATAGTGGCAAAAAATTAAGTAACTGGAGCATGAATGCATAATAACATTGAAAACGGAAGGAAGCATGTTAACACACACACACGCACAATCTGCACACACACACACACGCTGCACACACACACACACGCTGCACACACATACACACACACACGCTGCGCGTGCGCGCGCGCCCACACACACACAATCTGCATACACACACACACACACACACAATCTGCACACACACACACGCTGCACACACACACACACACACTCTGCACACACACACACAATCTGCATACACACACACACACACACACACACAATCTGCATACACACACACACACACACAATCTGCACACACACACACACACACACACACAATCTGCATACACACACAATCTGCACACACACACACGCTGCACACACACACACAATCTGCATACACACACACACACACGCTGCACACACACACACAATCTGCACACACACACACACACACAATCTGCACACACACACACAATCTGCATACACACACACACACAATCTGCATACACACACACACACAATCTGCACACACACACACGCTGCACACACACACACAATCTGCACACACACACACACACACGCTGCACACACACACACACACACACGCTGCACGCGCACACACACCCTGCACACACATACACACACACACCCTGCACACACATACACACACACACAATCTGCACACACACACGCTGCACACACACACACACACGCTGCACACACACACACACACACCCTGCACACACACACACACACACGCTGCACAAACACACACACTGCACACACTATCTGCGCACATCGCTGTACACACACACCTTGCACACACACGCACACACACAAGCTGCACAAACACACACACACACACACACTGCACACACTATCTGCACACATCGCTGCGCTACACACACACACACTGCACACACTATCTGTGCACATCGCTGCGCTACACACACACACACTGCACACATTATCTGCGCACATCGCTGCACACACACACCCTGCACAAACACACACGCTGCACACACTATCTGCGCACATTGCAAGCACAGACACACACACACACAGAGTTAAAATTGTAAGTTCAACACCAACAACAAACCCTAAATTCGACCCCAATAGAAAACCCTAAAATTCAAAAATTCTAATTAAAACACAAAATTACATAATCAATTGCATAATTAGAGAGAAAATGATAACTAGATTCAATCAATTGAAAGAAAATTGCAAGAAAAATAGGAGGGGGGGAAGAATAGAGGGAGGGGCGGAATCCTAGAAGAAGAAATCTGAAAAGTATTGTGATTCAAACGAAGAAGAAGAAGTTGAGAAGACGAACCTGGGATGAAAGGAAGAGAGAGTGCCTGGAGAGGAAGAAAGAGCACCTGGAGAGCACTGGAGAGCGCAGAGATGGCGAGGAAGACTGCTCTTTCCAGAAGCCCGACTAATTTGTACCGTGTATTTGCACGGTATTACTAAGCAGGTAAGCATCGGTTAAAAAAGGTGGGCCCGGATTATTTAATCCGGTGCTTATTTAATCCAAATGATCACCAAACACGGTACACCGTATTATTAGTCCTATCCGGTGCCTTATACGGTGTACCAAACAGGGCCTAAAACTCATTTTGCTTCTTCAACCCTTAAACGTATTGACTCGGAAAATTATGGGGAGAAGTACGTTTTAATGATACAAGCGAAAGTCTAAACTTCTTTAAGCTACAAGGAGGGGATTCAAACTCAAGCGCAAGAGGATGGGCATACTAACGTGCCAATTGGACTAAGTTACGTCTGCTCGTAGAAACAGATGTTAATGTCACAGCTAAATAACGGTTAAAAGAAAAGTTTTTTTTTTTTTTTCTGAAAAAGGAAAGCACCTTTCTTGTGGTGCAAGCCTGCAAGGGTAGTAACCGTACAGTATGGTAGTAAGAAGAAGGCTCAAACAGCCAGTTTTGAAAGTTCATATGGTATGGTAACCGAACCGATACCTATAAATTGAAAAAGTGAAACAAAACAGGAGTTTTGAAACAGAAGGTAAATGTAAAACGATTGGAACAACAATGTATAAGGTTACATACTGTGTATTTCTAGGCGAAAAGAAATCAAATTGTATCCAACCAAGAATCAAAATCATCCACTTCTTTAGACTTTGTTCCGGAAATAGACGATGATTGAAAATCATGGACAGCCCTTTGTTCTTGAGGTTGAGACAGACCGCCTTGGTTAATCAGTATCGATGTTTCATTTATCAACTCATCAAGCTCATCATCAATGGTAGCAGATGAATCCGGGACTTTTCTTTGAGGTTGAATCGGCATCAGGGAAGCATCTACTTGTACAGAAAAAGTATTACGAGGCTTGAAAGCAGTTGAATCATTTATCTTGGTCTCACCAAATGAATCAAGAAGCAGATCCAGTTCCAGTTCCGTCCGCCTCTGCAGTTGATGGCTCAAATGATTTTACGCTGGCTTGTGTTTCTGACTCTGGTAATTTGTGTTCATACTCCGAATTGCCAAGTTTAGGATCAGTAGGAGAATCAGATACCATAATCTCAATATCATGGTCAGGAACCTGAACCTCCTCCGAAAAATCACTGCAGGGTGATTCTTCAGGCAATCTTCGGGCTACTTCCTCATCACATGTTGTTTGCTCCGCATACAGCTCCGGTGGCAATAGATCCGCTTCAATGAAAAGCCTCTGCGGTAAGTCAATCTTTTCCAATTGCTCTGCAAGAGAATGCAAATTCAAGGAGAGAAATGACACCTCATGAGGTGCAGCAGCATTCTTATCCTCCACAACAAAATTATCATCTCCAATCCGTGATAGAACGCTCTCCCCCCTGACCGAAAGCATAGTTTCTATCCCCTTATTCCATTCCCCGAGCAGATCATTCTCCAAACCAGGAAATGTATCCAAATACACGATTGACTGAGACTGAGACCGCGCCTCATCTATCAGATGACAAAAGTCTGCACCCTTACTCTTTGGAACAACTACATCAGAGGCTCGATTCGAACCATCAGCTGCTGGAACTGGATCTTCTGAACCTAAATCTAACTCTTCCTCGTAACGATCCCAATTTGATGGGAGGGCAGACGCACCCTTAGTAGGGTGAGTTTTCTCTTGAACTTCCTTTCCCAGCGGATTCCTTGCGGTTCCAGCCTCATTTCCCTTGCCGCCCCCAACGGCTGAGGATTTTGCTTTCGGCTTTGGATGGTACTTCTTGCTATGGTGCTCGGAGTGTGCCCTCTTCGATTTTGCTAAAGCCTTGGCGTCCATTGCCAGATAACTGGTTTACATTTACCAGAGCGAAAAAAATGAACTAATGTGAGGTTGCTATTGCTATTATCTAACATATCGCGTGCGCAATTTCGACGCAAACACTAACGGAATTGGCTAAAAGGACCGATGCTCCACATTAAATCGAATTCAGATAACAAGTGTCGCCGATTTTAATTTAAGGACCAAAGCTCCAATTCGGTCTTAGTTTAGGACTATTTCTCCAATTTTTGCATGATAAATTCTTAATAAATTAGGAAAGATAATAACAAATTCTTAGGATGTTATGGAATCTGGAACGTTTAAATACCTGGAGAGTAGAAGAGCCGCAGTCGACAGAGCAAGTAAAGGAGCGGTTTGTAGGTTTTGGGCCGCCGGAAGAGGTTGTACGGACACGGAGGGGGGGTCGAGGCGGAGGACCGCGAGATCGTTGGTAGGTTCTACTTTCGCACAGAGAGGGGGAGAGATGAGGAAGACGCAAGAGGGGCTTTTTCCTTTCTTTCCGGCTTCATGCCACATGGGCTTTTGGGTAGCAAGTGGAAAAAGGGTTTGCGCATCACGTGGGCTTCAAAAACCGGAAGGTAGTGGGCTTGTTCAATATTTGGGAAGAGAACAATATAAGAACCTCTAGTCGGTCCGATTCAGTTTGGACGGGCCCTAAAAGGCATGAACCGGAATTTTTTTGTCAAACGATAGATTTTATTAGATTAGATGTTAAATTAGCCATCGACAAAGTTCGAACCCACGCCGTCATGCAAGAGCTCAACATCTTTCCACAACCGGAATTTGATTTGGTATTTTCCGCTTGATTTTTCTTTTTTTAAAGAAAGACTTGGCTCTTCAATAACAGAGAATGAACTCCTCTTTAAAAACATCGTGGTTTTTTCACAAAATTTTGTATTTATGATCGGAATAGTTCATATTATAAATCACTATATAAAGATCATTTCTACAAAAAAAAATCAATTAAAATTAAGATTGTCTAGTCATCGAACTGTATAAGAATATATGGACGAACTTGGCAAAAGAATTATGAATCATCCATCTATTTGCTACAATTGGTTTGCTAAACAATCTTAGTTTTAATTGATTTTTTTTTTTGCAAAGATGATCTTCACAAAGTGATTTATAATATGAACGATTCGGTCATAAACACGAAATTCTATAAATAGGCAGATATGTATAATAGGATTTCAATTTTGACCAAGTATTATATAATGACATATGATGCACAGTCTTGTGACTCGATACATCGGAAAATATCCCACTTTTGTGGTGTTGCCTTTGAGCTTGATGCGAAAGGGGTGGAGGACATGATCAACTCACCTGAGCAATTGTCAAGGAACGTTTCTTTTCATGTTATATACCCTTCAATATGACTCAAAGCAGTAGTCCCCAGCCTCCGACAATTTTTTCCAATCCCATGTGAACCAACGATCCAAGTCGCAGCTAGACCACATTACTGTCAATTATTGGCATAAGAATATCCCGATCCCAAACAAAATTACAAGGAAATCAAACGCCAAATTACAAAAGTCCTTTCCCATATCTTTATCACCCACAAGCTGGAATCCATTTCATTAATGATGATGATGTATCCCACTCCAGTTGCTTTCAAATACCATAACTTGTAGTAATTTTTCTGCAGCACCCCAATATAGTTCTTGCTTAAACTTGTTTCATAACCCGAAAGCTTTTGTTCGTAGTCTCTTGTTCGAGGATCTGTGTCAGGCCTTGAGATCCATATTAGTGCGATTGCATTGCTTTTTTTTCGTTTAGGGTTCGGTCATGTTTTCGTTGCCAATTGCTTTTTGGTTGAATGCTCTAATTTTGACAGGATATCAGGATGAGCTATTCACGTGTTGGGCCAAGTGGTCACGCTCGTTCCAAAGTCAGTCAATGTACATTGTTCGTATTGGGTTTTTTACACCAACACATTAGCACGTTGAAATTGCCAGAATGGAGCTTATGGAGTTAGAGTACTTTGTTGAGCTTCAAACCTTTAAAATAGACCTTTGCTGGGGAAGATTTTGCAGAGGTCATATGATTTGTTACCAGAAAAGCATTGTACATGGAACATGCATCACTGATTCATGTAATGTCATTGCCATGAAAAATTGTCGTGTTAAAAGTGGTTGCGGTGAAAATAGGCACAAGAAATCTGAAAATTAAACAAGTTATCGGCCTTGGCATTTTCGTTTCATGCAAATCAATCATCTCAGAGATGATACTAGTGGATTCACGAAGAAACAAATTATTTGACTTGTCAGTCCCACACCCCCACCCCCCACAAACATACAAAATACCTCCGCCGTACATTATCATCCATTTTCACTTCTCTTCCACTCAATCAGCTTCTCAAACAGCAGCCTCGCAATCTGCCTTTAAAATAGAGTGCAATCGCTCCCCTTCAATGAGGCACCCCAAGTTCCAATAACCCTAAAAAAACCACTCCAACCATGCCTTCTACCAAGCAGCTCTCAGCAACCCTCCTCATCTTCTCAATCCTTTTCTACTCATCCACATTCTCCATTGCTTGCTGCTCATGCAAGAATCCCAAGCCTCTCCAGCGCCCGCGCCTATGGCTGAAACCTGCCCTAAAGGACACACTGAAGCTAGGGGCATGTGTGGACCTTCTAGGACTTATCAACCTCCAAAATGGAAGCCCGCCTACTAGTGGTTGCTGTGCGTTGCTTGAAGGGTTGACCGATTTGGAGGCTGCTATTTGCCTCTGCACTGTGATCAAGGTTAATGCGGCAGGGCTTGTCAACTTGGAAGTGCCAGTAGCTTTGAGCTTGCTTGTTAGTGCCTGCCAGAAAACAGTCCCTCCTGGCTTCAAATGTGAATGAGATTTGGGAGCTAATCACAAACTCTTTGATGTGAGGAGTACAATGTTGTTCTTGTGTGAATATAATGTTGCTAGTGTTGGTTGTTTATGCTCTTTCTTTTGCCATGGTTGTTCCTATTTACAGGCAAGCATGTTTGCCTATACGAATAATTATGAAAAGTTGTTGTTGACGTAATTTGGTGCTATGAATTAATGGATTTAGCTCATGCTTTAAATCTCATGGCATGTTATTTTATAAATTAATTACTTTATATTTTTTACGGTTTAGATTAATTAGTTCGGTAGCTGAGTGCTAAACTAATTTACGGTTTAGATTAATTAGTTCAGTAGCTGAGCATTACTTACATCGGGAAGCTACTTTTATTGTCAATGTCTTAGTTTCTAACTTTTTATGGGCATCCATTTTCCAAATTTAGTGGTGAAGCCAAGATTTTAAGTTAGGAGTGGCTTCTCACAACTGTACAGAATACACTACAACGCCACCAATAATGGCAGCTCTACAACACGATCGCGAATCCCGCTCGCACGCTTGCAAATCCATCTCTTAGCCAGCGTCTCATCCATCATCTGAAATCCAAGTATTGATCCTTCTTCTTCTCTCTGCTTGCCTCTCTCAAAGTCGTGCTCTCTCTTTCTCTCCCTCTCTCCCTCCCTCCATCTCTATGGTTCTTTCCCTCTCTCAAATTTTCTTGCAAATTTATATTGAATTCATTGCATCAGTTTTGTGATTTAATGGCCTTTGATTGCACGTTTTAGTTTTTAATTGGAGGCTTGTTCTGGACACTGGGGTAGACGGAATTGGATCCTCTCTGAGGCAAATCCTCGGGATCCTCCTGATCCAATGACATGGACCGTTGAATTTTAATCCAACAGCTACAAACAAAGGGCCCCTCTAAAAGTTATAATAATTTTAGCCGTTGGATCAAAATCCAACGTCCCGTATTAGTGGGTCAGGAGGATCCCGAGGCTTTGCCTCCGAGAGGATCCAATTCCGGGATAGACATCTATCTATTTTAGCCACTACTTTGACGCTCTAGATTTTTGGTCTGATTTTGATGTTTCTTTGCTATGTGATGATGGTGATGATTTTTTAGTTCCACTCCATTTCATTAGTATGTTTCAATCAGTTGGAAGCCGTGTTAATTGACAAGGAAAACAACCTAATAGAAAGGCTAACGAGAATGAAAATTGCACATGGATACAAGCAGAATTCAAGCTTGTCAACGACCACTAGCACCATGTGAAAAAAATTAAACATGATTTTAAACATTCTCGAAAATCACTTTAAACCATGTGAAAAAGAATAATCATTTTAAATAAGTAATGTCTAAACCATGTGAAAAAAAAATTATACTGTTTAAACTTTCAGGTTTTAGAGAAACCAGTAATATGCTACATGACGAGATCCACGGGAAGCATTCTCGAAAGAACTCTTAAAATGGCCAAATTGATCAAGCAAAAGCGAAATCCACCTTTTGTGGAAATTTTGCATGAAATGAGGAAAAAATAGATATTGCATTTAGTGCTAAAGTTTTAGGTATGCCACTTTCGTGCATCCTCTTCTAGCTGATGGCACATAGAAATAGAGCTATGGAGAGAGATCTGGTATTGAAAATTCAACCTGCAAAATTGATCACAAAAACTTCATCCAAAAGCGCTTTGACCCTAACCCCTGCTTTTGATTTAAGCAATGGCTAAAATGGCAATGCCAAGTGGTGGGTCCAAATCGTGTGCTGGTGCAGATGTGCTGAAATTTGATTGGTTGATCATCAGAAAATGCTGACCATCTTGTTCTATAAATAACCTCCCAATTCATCAAATCTCCTACATGCCTCATCAGTTTCTTTCCCTTTAAAAATAATCAGTGCACACACAGATGATCCTCCCTGTAATTTTCCACGGCTTTCTTGAACTGTGCAGTTTCCAGAAGAATTAAACTGGCAGAAATTTTTCATGCAGATACAGAAACAGTTCAAGAAAGCTGTGAAAAACCACCAGCAGGATCTGAGTTGTTCATAAAAAGATTCTGATTGTCTCCTTCAAGCTTCTATGCCCTCCCATGGCTACTGGTTTTCTTCTGCAGTACTTTTGCAGGAATATCCTCATTCCAGCTCTATATAACACATACGCTTTTGTGTTTATGATGTGTTTTAGCCTTTTTCTCTCCTTATGTATCTTTGTAGGGTTGTGATTTCCGCACTCACTTTTTCTCCCTGTGTACTCTTTCATGTTTTTATTATAGGGTTTGGATTGAATAAGTCATGGAGAATCAAGGAAAAGAATGAACGTGTACAGAAGAAGAAAACGCGAGTGTGAAATTGCAAGGTTTTCAAAAGTTCTCTACAAAGTTTATGTATTTTTTTTCTTCTTTGGGTTGGTAATAAACTTCATGAAGATTCATGACTAAAAGCTTGCAATTCTTGTATTTTTTCTACAGATTAAACCCGCAAATTCTTGACAAGAAAGACTTGCACATGAATAGTAGGCTGATCGACAACACAATTAAAGGTCAACAGTCTTGAATTCGACGGGCGTACACTCAAATTAATCAGTGTATTATAGTACCAAAATAGGCCTTTGAGTCATTTACAAAGTGCTTTTCCCTAGCTTGATTCCTCTTGAAGAAAAAAGGCACCTATGTCTATGTGATTGCAACATTCATCAAGGCAGACCATAGGCACTGAATGATCAGCTTCAACCTTGTCATGTTCTTCCTATGGGGGCTATGGGAAAAATATGAGTCCTTTTCCGTATAAGAAGGTCGATATTATTAATAGGCCGGTTTAGGGCAGATACTAGGCCTGGTTTTAGGCTGTTAGGTCTGTAGCTCTACCCAGGCATCCACTTTTTGTCATGTTTGATTTTCTTTTTGGACGCGGGTTCAGTGCTTTTCACGGACTTTTGCGTATAATACATCATTGTAAAGCGTTGAAAGTTAAAGTACATATGAATAAAAATAACACCTTCCCTTTTTATCCAGATAATTACGTTTGCAAATAACACTTTTAGATTTAAACTATAAATCCTAACATTCAATAGTGAAGTTTGCGAGTCATCACTTGATTTTATATAAATTACACGTCTAAAGAGAAGTGTTATCCGTTTGGGTCTATAACCAAGTTACGACTCCAAAACATCCCACTCGGGCATTAGGGTTTAGAATTTAGAGTTTAGGGTAAAACAATAAAGGCTACGGAACCATGATTCCGGGATGTCAATCCCAATCACACTTCTCTACGGTGCAAGGAATGCGTGTGAGTTAGATTGCATAAACAACTGAACACACTGCAGAAGGGTGTGAAGTCCTTTTGCTGAAGCTCAGGAGACATGGGGTCTTTTCTTGCCTCCTCTTCTTTTTAGAGATCAGTAATGAGTCTATCATGACTCAAGCCACCTCATATTTACTTTTGATTTATACGAGTACGAAGAATTGTGTAAGATCAGTCTGTTTAGTGACATTCGATCTCTACTTAGTTGAAAATTGAATCATTTTTTACAATTACTTTTGATTAGAATAAGTATGAAAATTCTTGCTTTACTAGTCTGTTTAGTAACACTAAATCGATCTCTGCTTAGTTGAAAAATTTCTCATATTCGACAATTACTTTGGAATAACATGTGTATGAAAATTTTTGGATGACTGATCCACCTAATGATATCTGATCTCTACTTTATTAAAAAATGTCACATATTTGACTTATGACGATAAAAGATGTGAAAAATTCAAACTTTCCATCAAAACCATTCAATTCATTATTGATCTTCCCAAAATAGCCAAACCTCTGAGATTTTTTTTGGATCTTGTGTAAAAATCTCATTTTGGGAAAGAAAGGTGAGTCACATGACAGAGTGAAAGGGCGGTCTCTTTTTGCCATCTATAGTTGACAAGAAAAGGTAAGCATGCACAATATTTTGGGATTTGTTATTTGTCACTTTGACAACGTTATTTCACTTGTATTGTTGTACTTTAAAATTTGTTTTTTCATAAAAAATAGAAATTTTGATTAGGGCATTAATACTAATTATCTCACAATTATTTGCATAATAAAATGTTCTAAACAAAACAACTCTTACCTTTCCTTGCTAGCATGCACACAATTGGCAACATGCACAAACAAGAGATTGGTTCAACTAATGGTTAACAAGAGAGACTTGGCACGCTTAAGGGCACTCACTTAATTATTTAGGAAACTTTATGAGATTTGGAAATGCAACAAACAAGAGATTAATTAGTAGCTCACAAAAACTTTATGAGATTTGGTAATGCAACAATCATATTAAGTGGTTTTCTTTTTTGTCGTTTAGTGTCTCATACTGTATTGGATAATTCACTATACCTCATGTATGTTAAAAGAACAAATGAAGAAACTTTGTCTAACTTTAAGGTAAAAGACGGATTACACGTTAAGAAAAGGTATCCCTTCTAATCTCCACAAAATAGTATGGTAATAAGAGCTAAGTTTCCTCATGTCTAATCCCTTCTCATCTCCTAGAAAAAATCATTCATCTCTATCACATATACGTTGAGGACGTGTTTATTTACTGTATAAGTAATGAGAATGTCATCCTTGATTGTTCAAGTATGAGATAAACAAGCCTCTAAGTGATCATAACATCAAGTTTGAGAATGATATCGATACATGAACAATTAGGTATGATTCGCATTCTCAGCTTCTCCTATTTTACATAAGTAATGTCTTCAGTGTTAAGTCAATTTTTTTAATCTGTTCTTAACTGAAAACCATGGACTTCTAATTTGTTGTTTAATAGAGCCATTTTCTTCACCAAACTATACCCCAAGAATGGACAAGCCCATGCCCACTATTGGGATCAAAATATCAAAAGAAAACGACTCAACTTGGGCTATAAAGCCATATCAATATAAAACTAGCCAAACCACAAAAACCAAAAACCTGTATATTGGATTGTGTTGGTTCGAAACACCATCAACTCCGGTCGGCTGGGTTGATGAGTTGAACTCCAACCCAAAGGTCCAAACTAGTGTTAATCTTAAACGATTCACAAAAGAGCAATTTGCAAATACGTACGCTTATAAGATAATTGCTACATACGAACACGTAGTTTCGTGATCTAAAACAAGTCACCCCTAATATTAACTACTTAGGGGTGGAAATACGGGTCTTTGGGCCGTGGATCTAGAACTTATTACTCGGCTCTATGTAAAAGCATCCGGTTTTTATTTTTGATCTTTAAAATGGTCCGAGTTGGACCCGGCTTGTTAAAAACAAGTCCATATTTTTTATGTGTGGGTAATCCGATCAGACTGTTTAAGAGTTGTTATGACACTTGTCATTTTATTAGTAGTCTACAATAAAACCCATAATCCATAATTCCATATCTATCAAACGCTAAGAAGTAAAACAACGATCAAACTTCTTCAAACAAAGAGTCATAAGAGTCCCTCAAGAACATTTGGTGCTCTTGATTTTGTTAGATGTAATTTTTTCGTAACAAAAATATTTAGAGAGTATTTTATACTTTGTTTTGTTATACGACATATGATTGAAAACAGATCCGTTCCACTAATAAAAGTACATAAAATCGAACCAACTCAGACTCGTTTAAAAAGAAAAAATTCGTGTGTATCGAACCAAAATGAACCCTGCTCCACCCCTAGAGCTGCTTGTTGGTTATAGTAATATTAATCTTCTTAATGCCGAAAGTTTCAAATTCAGAATCTCCTTTCAATCAAAATAATACTCCACAAAACTTTAGGCTTTAGCTAGACATAGCAATGCGGTTGTGGTTTTACAGACTTGTCTCCTTCCTTTTTAAACGCAATAATAATGGGTTCAACTGTTATCAACACGACCGTCGAGGCTCAATCCCAAACACTCAGACTTTTTGTGCGTGTTCGTATCGTGTTATCAAAAGTTGTGCAGAATTTCGCCAACTCTAGTGTAGCGATACGGGCCACTAGTAATTATGGGCCATGAGGCCCATGAGGACAAACCTTTATGCCGAAGCAAATGGTCCAAAATAGGCGTCCGATGCTTTCTCTGTCCCCGCCGTGAAGCTCAATGCAACCGCAAATGGAGACAGTTAGGTAAGACTGTTTAATATTACCCAAAAAAACAATTAAAATTTTTTTTTTAATTTCCAGAAAACAATTAAAATTAAATTAAATTAAAAGAAAAAAGGGGGAGTGCGTGGGATCGGTGGAAACGCATACTGACAGACTCGGAGAAAAGAGAGAGAAGACTTGGCGATTGGGAATTTTTGCTACACAGCGGCAGAGGTGACACGCAACGCAACGCAACGCCCGCCCTCCGCCGGCTCTGGTTAGCCGCATAGTCCATTCACCTGCTAACGTACGCCATCGCTTTTGGACTGACGACGAAGCAAAACAATGGAGGCTCTGCGGACGCCACCTGTCCGTTATGTTTTGTGAACGAGCATCGATTCTCCTCGGCTGGTTCGCCGATCCGATCGCCAAAACCCTAGCTTTCTCTCTCTCGCCTTTCCCCATTTGTTGAGAGAGTGGGCGATGATCGATTTCGATTCTTAGAGAGAGAAACAGATAGGGAGTTTTAGAGAGAGAGAGAGAGAGCATTATAGGAAGATCGGAAAATGCAGAGACGGAGTCCTCCGAGGCACAGACACGATGGGACTTCGCCGCTGCCGCTTGGGATGGATTGGAGTCCTCCTCCTCGGAAATGGGTTCGTCTGCTTCCGCTCTTTCTCTCAATTCCAATTATTTCAAGTTACTAACTTTGAAAATTGTGTAATTGAAGATCATTACTTTCTAATTTAAGCTTGTATTTATAATTAGTTCGATTGTGATTTTCGTATAATCCATCACGTAATCAGTTATGAAGGTTAGATTCACTTCCTAGGGTTTAGCTCAGTTTCAGCATGCACTCACATTAACTGTTTTTACTCTTTAATAATCTCTTGTTAATTGCAACTTGTACCTTATAAAATTACGATTTTACTTTGTCAGCAAGTAATTTTATTTTTTTCGCGATTGGCTTAAGATGATCGTATAACCACTAGGAATGATAAAAATATAATCCGCAAGCAGAAGTTAAGATGGATCTACTCTTCAATCACCATGTTACCGAAAGAAGAAAATACATTTTCGGATTAGCAACCTCTTCAATGAAAAGATCAAATTTGACCTTTTTTATTAACAATTCGCATTTTTGTTCTCATTTGCGGATAAGCTTGTTGCATTGTTCTTTCCTGCCACAGTGGCTTTATATAAATATATTGCCAATCATTGTTACAAATACTCATTGGGTATCTGCCTAATCCAAAAGGCTGACATTCCTATTGCAGAATGGACGGGACACAGTTTGGCCACATGATCCTCGCACAGGATGGAGTTATTGTGTCACTATTCCTTCGTGGGTTGTCCTTCCAAAGTCAAGAAATTCAGATCCCGTAGTGGTACTCAAATTGAACGATTCTCCAGTGTTTATCTATTCCCAGGGTTAGATGTTGTTTTATATTATCTTTTAGGACTAAGTACAATTAGGAAATCTGTATCCATCGTTGAACTTTCATGTGTGAATCTTTCAGTATCTCCTGCTGTTGCCTCGGTCCACAAGTAAATTAAATATGTTATTGGAACGTTATGGTCTTTAGGGTTCTGCAATGTTATTGGTTGCTATTATGGTCAGTTTGGGGAATAGAATGTTAAAGGTGATCCTGTAGGTGCCTTGTCGTTTCTTGTGGGACATAGCAAGTCTTCCTTATATTACAGTAAAATGTTTCTGACTATGCAATGTAATCACTTGGTAATCTATGATTGTGACAAACTTGATGTCATTCGATTATAATATAGATATTCTTTGTGGCAGTCAAGATTAAGATTTCTATTTGGATGAATCCAACTTTTTTTCTGTTGGATTTGTGTAACATATGGATAATAGATTGATCATAGCTTTTGGTGAAATAAACATTTATACTACCTACATGCGCAATGGTTTTTTCAAGCTCATTGTATTTTGCATTTGTTCACTACCAGTCTTTTGCATGGGTTCTATTATAACATTTTAAGGGACAGTTCTACAGGGTTGAGGTTGGTGTACAATCACCAGAAGGTATTACAACTACACATGGAGTGTTAAGAAGATTTAATGATTTTCTGAAGTTATTTAGTGATGTAAGTACTGACTTTGGATTGTCTGTAAAATAGGTATTTACTTTATGTTAGTATGGTAATTCATATGAAATGACAACTTGGTTGTTCTCTAAGCACTACTTTAGGAAACGCACTGTTGATTATCGCTTTGTTAAACTAATCAAAGGACATTCTTAATATTTGTTTATTGGCTGTTACTTGTAGCTTAAAAAGGCATTTCCCAAGAAAAATCTCCCACCAACTCCACCCAAGGGACTTTTGCGGATGAAGAGCCGGGAACTGTTGGAAGAGGTAGGTAACATGAGTGTCGTTCAATGGAGGACAACAAACTCACTCTAGTGTAGTTCATATTCTTAACAAGGGGGGATTACTCTTAACTGGAAAGTGTAATATTCAATTTCAACCTTCAAACGTGTGTGTACTCGTGCACATCTAAAAGGGTGATTAATATTCTTAAGAAGTTTCAGTTTTGTTGCAGAGAAGGTGTTCGTTGGAGGCTTGGATGACAAAGCTGCTATCGGATATTGATATATCAAGAAGCATTGCAGTGGCGTCCTTTCTTGAACTAGAGTCTGCAGCTAGGTCTTGTATGTGACTATCTTGTGCATGACTGCTGTGACACAACCCTTTTTTTTTGTTACACGGATTCCTTTTATAGAGTTTTAATGTATTAATTCCTTGTCATAATACATTTCAGCATTCCAAGATGCAAGCCAAAACACTTCAGACGCGAGTTCGCTTCAATCACCTTCCTATTCTATCTTACCTGCCATTGTAGGGAGTTCATCAATCACACCAGATTATGGAAGTGATACTGCTTATGAGACATCTGAGCTAGGAACACCAAGGCTAGGAAGGAATGACAGTTCTGACATTGGTCTCGAAGATCTGGTATTGGATGAAGATTTAACGAGCCCAATAGAAAAGCTTGTGAAGTATGGCATGACCAATATTGATGAGGGACTATTCATGGGACAAACAATACTAGAGGAGTTGGAAGGCCTTCCTAAGCATAAAGTGAATGCTAGACATGTCAATAATGTTGTAGGGAAGGATACATATAATGGAAATGCTTCTAAATCTTCAATTCTACCTCGTAATGGAATGGAACTTTTCTCTGAGCCAGAGCGTAGTAAAGTATTCAACCATGCTCGCAAGCTCTCAAATGAAAGTGTGGGAAGTGATGCCAGTTCTCTAAGAGGTAGTGAAATGTCCAACCCTGGTGTTCCAAACTCATCTGGTGATGGTTCTCTTGACCATCTTGGAGGTGCTGAGGTTTCAAGCATTATGGAAATGCTGGGCAACACAGAGTTACAACCTTCAGGTGGCACTCAAATAGTTCTCCCATTAGATCAGCGAAACAAATTGAACAGGGTTCTCTTGACCATGCAGCGAAGACTAGTCACAGCAAAAACAGACATGGAAGATCTAATATCTAGACTCAATCAAGAAATAGCAGTGAAAGATTACCTTGCAACAAAGGTATGTCAAATTAAGTTAACCATGCTCTTCATGATTTCAATTGCTAGACTTATATTTGTTTGGGATGGAGAACTTCTTGATTGTATCTAATTTGGTTATTTGTAACATGACATTTTTAAAGGACACAAATAAGTACATTTTCAATTTAAGGATATCTAATAGGAGAAATAAGCCATTATAAATAACCTGGAAGAAATGTTTGTCCCGTGCCAAGACCACTTGGAAGCTTGTCATAAATTCTTGTTCCAAACTTTTCACTATGAAATAAATATCCAGTAATTTTGCAGTGACATAGTGTCTAACATGTTTCATATATCGATTACCTCGCCCTCACCTCCGGGGCCAAACCCTTACAGTTGCATTTCCAAGGCTTAATTGACAAAAATATTTGTTTTCCCCCTCAATGAAAAAGAAAATCCATGAAATTTAAATTGTATACTTAGTTTTTATGCTTGCTTTACATAGACCTAATTATGAATTGCTGCACAAATAAATTGTTGATAAAAACTACTTTACATAGACCCAATAGCTGTGACACTTATGAAGTTATAGATTTTGACAAAATCCAGTTACAGTCTGTCGGCTGAAAGAATTGGTACACCATTTGATTTCACAGAGGGAGTTCATAGACTAATTGATTGGGTCCTACAGGTCAAGGATTTGGAAGTTGAACTTGAAACTACTAGACAGAAGAGTAAAGAGAACCTGCAGCAAGCTATTTTAACTGAGAGGGAAAGGTTTACCAAAATGCAGTGGGATATGGAGGAACTCCGGCGGAAGTCATTGGAGATGGAGTTGAAGTTGAAGTCGGAACAGGTTATTGTTCTTAAAGTTTGTCTTTTCATTTTTTTGGGGTCAGTCTGTGGCCATCCTTTTTATGATCTGGATAGTTATACGATATATTCAAACGCTACCAGGACAAGAAGTCATGTGCAGAGTCAACAAAAGATTCATCTGGTCGAGAGAAAGAGATATTGCCGCAGGAGTTGGATCCTTACAAGGAGCAGCTTGAGAATTTGTCAAAGCGATATGAGAGCTAGAAGCAAAATCTAAAGCAGATATTAAAGTTCTTGTTAAAGAAGTTAAATCCTTGCGCAATTCTCAAGCAGGACTGAAGCATGAACTAAGTAAATCACTGACGGAGAAATCTGAAGCTGAGGTATTTTGTCACTCGTCCAATAGTATTGTTGCATTCTAACTTTTTCAAACTAGTTCTTCTTAGGTTGTTGGGTTAAATTGGTTCTGCTTTCTGTTATTGATCCAGATAATTGGCGTCCTTCCTTTTGATTATTACTTCACTTATATTCCACAATACCCTGGAAGCTTTATGTTTTGGTCCTAAGACAGATGCATTGATAGAACAACATGGCACATTTTCATCTTGCTTTCAGAAACAAATTAAAATTTTAATTGATATGTAGCTGACGAGCCAGAGAGTAATCTATTAGTTAGGTTTGATGTTTTTCTTGTTTTCATTTATTTTTCTATTTTTCAGAAGCTCCGCCAACAGGAAAAACAAATGAGCAAGCTTGCAGAAACTGCTAGAAAAAATTGTTGCATGAATGCAAAGTTCTTCATCAGCAACTTCAAGAATGCAATATCAATTTTCCTGTTGATGATTCTTCAATTCTACCAGAGGCTTCAGAATTGTTGGATGCTTCAGACAACCGTATCAGTCTCTTACTTTCAGAGGTACTTTCTACTTATTTCCCAAGTTTCTTTCGTTTGCCAACTTTTATTTTCTGGCATATGGTCACATTACAACACTTCCAAATTTGGCCCATCTTCAACAAATTAAAATTAAATTTGTTTGTATGAGAAACATAATGTGCTGCACGTTTATATGTTTCTTGCTTCAACAATCAGTTGTAAACATTTGTAACGTATGGATGGCAGCATATTAACCGTTAAATTATACTTTTCCTAAATCGCTCTATATTTGACGTAGTGCAATTCCATTTGAGTTTGAAGTAACTTTAAAGCATACTGATTTTTGGCTTAAGCATTGTTCCCATTCTCGTAAACCATGTCTGAAGTAACTTTGCAATAATTGATCAGGCACAACTCTTAGCTCAAGACGGTGTAGCTACTAGTGAAGTTGACAACCTCGATGATGATACGAGGACAACAGACAATGAGTTAAGGAAGATTCTGGCAGAAATTTTTTCAGAAAATGCTAGATTACGGAAACAGGTGAACTGTCTCATACGTCGTGCTCACAAAACGGATGTCCAATCTATGAAAGACGAGGTCCTTGAAGACGAACTTCACTGACGAGTAAGTAGGAAGGTGTCAGGATGAATATTGTAAATTTTGTCCTTCTTCAAAAGAAAGAAAAAAAAGGAATAATTTGGCCACTCGCATCGTCTCTTGTTTCATGTATTTCTTGCTACACGACACTTCAAGCTTGTGGTTACACATATACGAGTCTCAAGAAAGTTTGTGCAATCTCTGGTTTATCAGAATGTTGTATTCTTTTTTTCTGCGATGGCACCAATAAACGAAAGAGATGAATGGAAATTATTAGTGACAAACGTGTTTCTCTTCTGTTTTGGCTTAGAAATTTGAAAGTAGCTCTGCTCTTTTCCGTTGCATGCGCGTATAAGCCAATCATAATTTTGTCAAACTTTTCGGATGCCAGTCTTTCGTTTATAAACATGAACCCTACGATGTTGCTGTTTGTCTTTTGGTACTGCTGCCTTTTGCAATCGTAGTTGCAGCTTTCCTTTCATTTTCCTCGGTTAAAAATTGACATTCTGGGTTGTGACATAAATTCTTCATCGATTTGTTAAAATATCCGACTTTAGGTATTCATGACACAAGTGAACGAATTAGGGAGATGATTTCGACACTCCAAATATCACTTCCCGCACTCACTCTCAAGCGGGAGGAGTGCGGAACTGAAGTGCCAAAATCATCACCCTTGGATAAATCTCCACCTCTGAATACCTTGAATTCTGAAGAATGCCTGTCGAATGCAAGCATGTACAACTAGCCTGAAGTAATGAGCTTACCTTTTTCTAATACAAGGGAAAGAGGATTTCAAACACAAGCTCGAGTGCATGCATAAGTGCTCCTAACCACGTGAGCAAAGCTGCTTTTGATTTCTTTGGTTGGCATGACCAAGCCCCACCCTATCTACCAAACGTACTTACGCAATCGAGCAAGAGAAACCAAAATATGTTTTGGAGCCTCTTTGCTTAGCAAAATAAATGAGCATTAGAGATTTAATTTGAATAATTTGCCATAATGCAGCAACGAAGTTTCCCATTTTAAGAATAAATCGATCTCTCGAAAACAACATTCGTCCATGAATTTTGTTCGAAATGGCTAATGTTACATAGTAATCTACACGAGACGGAGACAAGGGAATGGCGAGCATTGTGCAGCGGAACTCAGTCACCCTAAACATTCACGGCCATTTGCCCAAGTGAAGCGTCATTGTTTCTGCAGTCAACCCAAGCACAACTCCAACAGAACTGCATGAATGAAAAGAATTAAACAACTAACTTGGGAGAACTTGTAGGAGACCAGCACACTTGATGACCTAGCGAATACTTGTCTGAACCATTAGACCAACATATCGCTCTTGATCTAACAGTTCAGACAGTGTTGTGCGTCAAATTTCCCACGTGAAAAGGGCTTACTTCAGCTCACAATCGAAGGCAAAGGGAAATCGCAGGGACAACAAAATTTGAATCGAAATTAAGAGAACAGTGGGAAGTACTAGAACTACCTCAACAGCAGTTATCTAACTCGCGTGGCTCCACAAGGATGTAGAGTGGCTTCCATTAAGCCTGCACTGTCCCTGAAATGTCACAATCATCATTCATCAAGAGCAGCTAGCACTTGAGATATCAAAAGACTTACGAGTAGCATGCACTCAATACACAACAATGCTTTCAAATCTGAATATCCCTGAAGTTTTAGGTCAAATTATGATGCCGGTCCTTAGAGTTTGGTACCCGTAGGTTCGTCTTTCAGCAATTTTAGATTTTAGTCTGAATTTTTAGGTCAAATTATGATGTTGGTCCCTAGAGTTTGGTACCTGTAGTTTCGTCTTTCGCAATTTTAGTACCCTATTTATCAATGGTTGCAACCCAAGGACAATAATCTACCTTGACATTAGCCAGTCACGTAGGTCACTCGTTGAAAAATTGCAGCAATGACAAATGACAGGCCTAAAATCGCAAAAATTGAAACTAGAGGTACCAAAGTGGAACTTCCGCCAAACTACGCAGACTAGAATCGTAGTTTAGCCTGATTTTTAAGTTCATAAATGCGTAAACATTACCTTAACCTCAGGCAACCCAATAACGCATCCACATTCGACCACTTCAGCCCCAACACGTTCTAGAAACACAGAAATTTGTTTTGGGATGATGTGAATTTCAAGGAGGGTACTCAAGCAGTATAAGGAAGAAGATGAACAAGAAATATCAAGGCCTCAACAGCAACCACTCACCTAAAAGTCTTATTGCTGCTGATAAGGTCCCACCGGTAGCTATTAGATCATCAATTACCAATGCACGTTCACCGGGCTGAGCAGCACCAACATGCATTTCCAGGCAGTCGGTTCCATACTCGAGCTCGTACGCTTCTGAAATTACTTCTCCTGAATAAGCAGCATTGTTAAGTGAAGATTCGGTACAGCGAAGAATGAAAAATGCAAGGTACAAAATAGACGCTACATCAACAACCAAGACCTCACTTCCAAACATCCCAATGTTGGAGTAAATTTTGCCTAAAACCGGTTGTCTATCACGTGACGAGAGAGAGAGAGACACAGGTTGTATATTGTGGTAAAAAAGAAAAATAGCCAACAGCAACGTCGCCCTAGTAAGAAAGGCCTTATCCTAAATGAAACTAAGCACTAAACAATAGATAAAAAGCATATTACCAGACATTAAAACTACGGCTAATTGTAAAACTTAGCACGCTGGACTGCTTAAACGATGGGGGGCAGTACTTTAACAGCCAAATCCAATAGACCTTTCAAAGGCTCAAAGGACACTAGCTTTACATAACTACTTCAAAAGTTGATTAAGGAGGACTGAGTGCATGATTAAAAAGGTAATTAGCTCCTGGACATAAAAAATTAAAAAAAATAAAACTAAGCAAATCAAGCTAATTACAGTTGAGCGTACCCGGCAACTTTCTAGGTTTACGTAAAGGGACGAACTTGGCACCAATTGCTAAAGCAACTGAAGGACCAAACATGAACCCTCTGGCTTCCACTCCTGCAGATTAATCATAAAGACAAGGAAGTATGAAAAGCAGACCACGTAAGAATTAATTATTTAATAAAATTTAAAATTAGGGTTGTCGTTATCATGCTACTATTTGGTAAACGATATCACCAACTTGAAGAAAACAGTGATTGATTAAGGCCAATAATTGGGACGGTACAACGTTCAAAACATCCTTCTTTTTAGCACTGACTGTTCATCTGCCATGAGGACAGCAAAATGTTGATGAACATCCACTCGGAGTTAACCATCCACATCAATAGCTAGCTTTCTTCACTTACGTAAAGTGCCGACAGGAAAGCAAAGGTTTCAAGGAGCAAAAAGATTGATCTGTGAGAAATTAGTGCTTATCCTTTAACTCGGGAGACTTTCTCTTGCAGTAATGACCGATACGAGAATGCTATCCTTACCACATTTGTACCGCCTCTCCAATAGAGGTGGGACCCACCTCTATTGGAGAGTCGGTACAAATGTATTAAGTGTAGCATTAATCGAAACCAAATGAAATGATGATATCTGAACGATTGACTTTTTGTGGAATAGTAATGGTATCAGGTTGGTAATTAACATAATGGTCACACAATCAGCAGCAACAGAAATTTCTCAATTGTTTGAGAATGCATTTGAGGTTAATACTTTTATTAATCAAAATAGACGAACAAAATCGTAGAATTTCACAAAAAAAAAATCCTTAAAAATCAGAAAGAACGCATCGGCAAAATTGTTTGTGAAGTGGTCGATGAATCTTCTATGTGTCCAAGCAACCAGAAAAATGCAGCCGTGTAGAAGAATGCAATCAGCTTAAGGAAATTATACAGAAAAATGAAGAAATCTGCTCTGTTTTGAGCTTGTGATCCCACTGCATTAGCCATAGATATAATTATTGAGGGGAAGAAATTCGGAAACAAAAGTGGTCAAATTAGAAAATCATTAATCTGTAAAAGTGCATAAAAACAAAATAGGAAAAATTATAAACTAATTTGGCTAAGATTAATGATGTATGATACCAAAAAACAAGCCTTTTTAAGATATGGAAAATCTTCAAGGGCATCAGCAAGGATTGCAACTCCACAAATTTATTTCTCAAAACAATCGAAGTGGGGAAAAACCAGTAAAACCCAAGAGCCAAAAGACAAAGTTCCAGACAGCAACTCATAAATTAACTAATTAAGCTCACATTTTAATATTCAGAACATTAACAAACCTTAAAAAATACTTCAAAAAATTGTACATATATACAGCTGTATTATATATATATATATATATATATTGAGAGAGAGAGAGAGAGAGAGAGAGAGGTGAGAGGGGGAGAGTACCGGCGACAACAGAGATGTCCATGTCTCTGTAGCGATCAACAAAAATGTCGACAACATGCTTGAAGGCCTTGTGATCAAGCAACAATGTTGTTATGTCTTGAAACATTATCCCTGCATACATACATAATAAATAATAAACAAATAACCACACAAATCATCAGACTTCACAAAAAAACACTGACAATCTACTTAAAAAAAATACAACAAATTAAAAAATAACCCAACAAAATAAACAACTAAAAAAATGGAACCTGGTTTCGGAAAGTGAGGCACAACCCTGATGGCTTCTGATATGGCTTGGAGCCTTGGGTCTCCTTTCAGTCCATTTTCTGCTGCAAACATTCTCTCTCTCTCTCTCTCTCCGGTTTTTCTCTCTTTCTCTCTCTACAAATACTCGAAAGGAATGGATTCTGCTCTCTGGGTTATGAAAATTTATGGGTTGAAATATATGTCAAATGGGTTTTGGGTTTTTGGGTTTTCGGATTTTCCCTCCTAAAATCTGAACAGAAAAGCTCAAATCTTTGTTCTTTCTTCTCTCTCTCTCTCTCGGTGAGTGTTTGGAGTAATTGCTGGCTAGTGGTTCTTTGTTTTCTTCATTTATTATGTTGGCCAAACCACAGCACTTTGGAAGATACGTAGGGGAAGTTTGATGGTGACGCGGTTTAACTGCACGTGTACTGCACGCTGCATGCCTTTTGCTGTAACGATGCACCCTCCAATCCGACGGCCACGATCCTCCTCAAATCCCACCCTCCTCGATCAATCCAGCGTAACAGTAAAATAACACCACCGGCAACGCACACTGTAACTTTGCCCCGTTTTTCCCTGCATGCACTTTTGTGTATAACGAGGTAGAGGGCATTATCGTCATTCCACATTCATTGACGGCTAACTATTGGCAGAGAATCCAGCCGCAGGAGATTTTGCAGATTTTGGAGGTGGTCCCTAGGTGGTCCTGCACGCCCATCCCCTTTAACACATGCTTACCTGGCTTCGTCCAATCTTATTCCACCCTACACGTGGCATGATCGTCCGAGATACACGCTACATCAGCGACGCATTAGTTTGTCGTTTCCTTCTATTGACCATATATTGTTACTTTATTTCTGTGGGCCCTCGTAGTGGATACGATGAGGTCACGGCTCTCAACTAGGGGAAAACATGCCCAACGCTCAATAGGGCGCGTGCTAGACAAACTATCGTGAAAAACTGTTGTTCTAACCTGTGATAGAAACGCATTAGGGACGCAAGTGGGGGGCAACACACGGAAGGAGATTGGCCCCGCGAATTCAAATCAACGGACAGGATCGCTGTTCATGTGCACGCGAGTGTACCCTCAATACAACATGATAACATGATCATTAAGCTCTCCCCTTTTCATCCACGGACCGCTCTATAGCCTACACAAACTCTCTCCCTCCCAAAGTGTCCCAAAACTCAAATCTCTCCTTCTTTTTTATTTCATTATGTTATCTAACATAGATTTTGTTAGATTAAATATTAATTTAGTCACCGATAAAGTTTTAACTCACTTTATTATGTAAGGATTCAACAACTTTTCATCACTGCAGTAAAGGGCCATAGTAATATCGCATTGATATCATAATTTTACGTTTTATAATGAGCAGACTGTTTTTTTAATACATCTCTCGTATAAGATGTATTGAGAAGATAAATGTTAAGAACATCTCCAATTAAGGAATCAAAAAGTTCACACCAACAGTAATATTTTAAAAAAATACAACATTAGTGTTTTTAACCGAAATACTAGTGTCATGATGCGATTGACAGCAAAAGTAGTTGACGTCAAATTTGACATCAACATTTAATCTAGTTAAAGTGATTAATAAATGTTTTTCATTATTATTATTATTATTTTTAAATACTTATTATAATTATGAAAAGTAATTAGTGTAATCTCTAAAATAATAGCTTACATTTGTCATATGGGTGAAGACAAAATTAAAAATAAAAAAAATAAAAAAAAAGTGGTGCAAGCTTTCAAATTTAAACTTTATATTTAAAATTCGACATCTCATCTGGAAATGTTCTAAGGGAACTCTCCATGAACTCTCTGTCATCTCAAGTTTTTGCCACAATGTTTTATAATGTTGGCACAAGAATTGGCGTTAAATTGTGAGATATCAAATAGTCCACAAAAAGTTCCACTTTGAGAAGTCTTGTTAGCATTTCTCTTAATGAGAAAATAAATACACATATCATAATTTTTTTAAAACAAATGATATTATCTACACTAAAAAGAAGAGAATGAGTTTAGCTTCATAATGAACTAATAATAATGTGATTCAATTAATAATTGAATAATTACATTACATAACAATGGTATGGATACGCTTTAAATTCATTCCCATTTCAAACCAATTTCACATGTTTTCCTCCCTCTTTACATCTTTATGATGTCTCCTCGTACGGTGCTTTTGGATGGTGGAGATCCACCGCCGTAGTCTGAGATCACATCATGGCCGTCAAAATCAAATATCGGCTTAGGGTATGATGCAAGATCTTTGCCTTTTCTGGTTTACACGCAGAGTCAAATGCAAGGGTAAAAGGGTAAAGTGAAGAAGAAGGTCCACACACTCCTAACCTATGGACTTGACGACCCTAATTTCCCCATGCACCAATCGTTGATGTTGTTGGTGTTCAATTGCACCCAGTCTTCCACAAACATGACGTGGAACATGTTAAACGTGAGTTCCAAATGCATATAACTTTGATATATATTGTTGGCAAATCGTCTACCAGTGAAGTTTTAGAATCAATTGTTATGTAACATTGTACGGTATGTGCTTTTTTTATTTGTTTCAAACAACTATGAGTTTGATCTAGTTCCACATTTCTTTGTTGGTTTTGCAAAGTTATACTTGTTTCAACTCTAACTCTTGAACCAGAGGAAGGACCTACCGACCGATTTTGAGAGCTGTTTACAGTTCTAAATTGCCAGTTGACCGAGGAAGACCACACTTATAGGAGATTTTTTCCCAATTTAAAGAAATTAATATCGATTCTCCCCTCCTCATTTGAAGCTACAAAAATCCTTAGTCCAAGAGTTTTTAAAAACATTATTGATGTAAAAAAATGTGAATTAAAGATTCCACTGAATTGAACATTTCCATGGCTCAATGGATAAGCTAAGGATTTTTTTTTTTTTTTTTTTGTTTAGAATAAGGTTAACCAACATGTTAATTAATCGATTACGATAAATTGAATTAGAAATTATATGCATGGCTACTTTTTTGGTGATATACATAATTACTCACTTTGTAATAATGATTGTTGACAACATAGTACTCACCTGAAGCTACGAAAATCCTTAGTCCAAGAGTTTTATAAAACGTTATTGATGGGAAAAAAAAAAGTGAATTAAAGATTCACTAAATTAAACTTTTTAATTTCTCAATAGATAATTTGATAAGCCAATGGTAAATTTTTTACGTGTTTTAGAACATGGTTAATCAACATGTTAACTAATTAATTACCATAACTTGGATCCGAAATGATATACACGACTAATTTTTTTAGTGATATAAATAGTTACTCACTCTGTAATAACTAACACTTTTACAAGTACTGATTGGCTAACCACAACATAATCTTTTACATATCTTTTGTTTCAAAAACTAAGAATTGAGTAATTAAGTAGCAAAATCTTTCTTTGGATATGAAGAATCATAGTTCTCGGACCTCTATTCCAAATTTTGTGGCTGAGAATCTTGACATTAAATGACATCCTTTTTGGATTGGGGACCTACAAACGTTGCGCATGATTTAGTTTATAATTAATTAATGAACAACTCGTGGACAAAGAACCATGAGGTTATAATGATGAAGCTTATCTTATGGCGTCACATCGTCTCAAAACCTAACCTCAACCAAATCTTCAACCTTAATTATAGTACATAATCAAGTAGATCAAGATACTGACCAGCTGTGTATTTCACTTCTAGAGATATAATAATTTACCAAATCCGGGAATCTGTACCCTTAAAAATTGATCCAACGGCTGAAGTTATTATAACTTTTAAAGTGAATCCCTGTTTGTAATCGTTTGATCAATTTTCAATGACACGGATTTCTAATTTGGTAGATTAGAAGGAAGAGATCCAGAGAATATCTCTTTCCTATAAAACACATGACTTGTTTGTTTGTTTGTATGAAATTAAAGCCTCTTCTGGTGCTTATAATTGAACTAAATTGATAATTAAACACTTGTGTTTAGTCATTATTTTCGTTTGATTTATTTAATTTGATAATCAATAATCAAGAGGCATGTGTTAAAAAACACCTCTCTATGTTAAAATGATAAATAAAAAAAATCGTGTCCAGCTATATACGGTAAAAGAATAAACTACTAATTGTATCCAACTGTATAAAGTAAAAGTAAAAATTATAGTTGACAATTTTCCTTCATGTGTTTCTTTTTGGCTTTTTGAAAGTTTAGAGAACATTAGTTATTCTCGCCACCAGCGTTAGCCAATACCCATAATCTTGAAATAGAAGAACTTACGCATGGCATATAACTGACACCTGCCACTAGTATGAATTTATGTAAAATTTACAGATTGCACAGTAACTGATGATTGCTGACAACAAAACTCAAATTTTAGTGGGTTAGCACCCAAGACAGATACTTTACCAATTGAGCCAACCATCGTTGGCATTCATGTGTTTCGTCCCCTCCTAATTCCTTTAGTATGCAAAAACATTCACTTTTAACCTAAGTATATCCTCGAACACAATAAATGATCTAATCTAATTTAGTCATGGATACGAAACGAGACGTATGTAATATGATCATCCACCAAGCATATTTAAAAATTTATAATCAGCTACTTGAGTAAGTCACATCACACACCTAGTCCTAGACTCATAGCTAACAAAAAACAATGATCATTTCTTGTTTAGATATCACATCAAAGAAATCCCTTTTCGTTTGTTTATAATTATCCTTTCTTTCTGCGGCAACGAAATATATGGGCTTGTCCACAGGCATCTTAATATATTCTTTTTTTCTTTTTTCGCTACATCTTTGAGTACGTTTTAGGAAAAGGTGTCTATTTTATTAGGGAATAGTTTAATCTTTATTAACTATTGAAGGACTGAGGACAAAAAAGGGAGATTAGCTCGTGGATTTGTTAATTATGAGTGTGATTTATCCATAGAGCTCGATCTCCATGTACGAAGTGGAAGATTTGTGGGTTAGGGTTTGTTGATACATGTGATCACCTTTAACCAATCATGTGTGTTTTGGAGCTTCTACTTGCCTTCTAAATTATTAGCCATCTTGATTACGACAATGAGAGATTAAGAAAGTCATTTGCCCCAGGAAAAGTTGAGGACACGAAGTTTGGACAAGTCTCCTATCAAATAAAATGGGTGTTTAATGCTTTGCTCTAATATTATTCTCCGAGAGATATTTTGGGTCTACGAATTGTCTAACGTAATTCTAGACTTATTATTGGTGATGGTTTTCATGTTTAATAGTAAATTATTATCCTCTTTGTACTTGATTTTGGAGAAACAAATCTCTAGTTTCAAGCAAAAATAACCCTTAAACTAATGAGCTCCTAACTAAAATTTAG